ACTGACACACTCGAAAAAGATGCCATGGAAGAACGAAGCATTACGAAGAAAAGAAAAATTGATAAAATCGAAGTGAAAAAAGTAAAGAAGTTCAAAAAACAAATATTTGAAGATAGTTCTGAAAGCTCAGAGGAGGAACTTGAACTTGGGACTGCTACTATACAATCAATCCAGATGGATTTGGGAAGTTTCATGGAAAGCCCATAGAAAATGATTTTGTGCTCGTGGAATTTCCTGGAAATTGGAGAAGAAGGAGGTGTATTAAACAAGTATGGCGCTTCATAAGACAACAAAGAGGCGAAATGGAAGAACTAGTTGAAATAGAACACATACAAGAGGATACATGGGTGGCCTTCCTGACAGAAATGTTTAAAAAACAAAACGAAGAACCTTTACCAGAAACTCCAAATATAATGACTGAGGAAAAGACCGAAATCTTACAAAACGATGTGAAAGAAGGAATAAACAAATTAAAAAACAGAAAGTCACCAGGAGAAGATCAAATACCAAAAAAACTCTTAAAATATGGAGGTGATTACCTTGCACAACAACTACAACTTCTTATTAATAAAATAATCACCTTCTTCTTCTTACGGTGCCTTATCCTTAAGGACGTTGGCCATTACATTTGCCCATTTAATCTTATTTGTAGCAGCCCTGAATAGTTCTATGGAGGTCATGTTCGTCCATTGCCGTAGATTTTTAAGCCAAGAGTTGCGTCTTCTTCCTGGTCCCCTTTTGCTATTGACTTTGCCTTCAATTACAAGTTGGAGCAGTTCATACTTTTGATTTCTTATGATGTGACCAAAATATTGTGTTTTCCGTTCTTTTATTATAAGCATAAGCTCTCTTTCCTTATTCATCCTCCGCAAGACTTCCGCATTTGTCGTATGGCTCATGTAGGATATTCTGAGCATTTTACGGTAACACCAGAGGTCGAATGCTTGGATTCTTTTTTGTGTTGCTTCTGTCATTGTCCAGGCTTCAATACCATAGAGCAAGGTGGAGAAAACATAGCACTTAAGTATTCTAGTTCTCAATGAGATGCCCAGCTGGCGGTTGCATAGAACTTTTTGCATTTTGTAAAACATTGTACGTGCCTTTTCCAGGCGTATTCTTATCTCTAGTGAGTGGTCCCAAGTTTCATCAAGATTACTTCCAAGGTACGTTGTTCTTGTTACTCTTTCCAGATCTGTTCCCTCGACATTGACCTTCACCCTTCTGTTTTGGTACTTGCTGATGACCATCGTTTTTTGTCTTCTTTGTATTCAATTTCATTCCAAATTCTCTACAGGCTGTCGTTACTCGGTCCATTAAGCGTTGCAGGGCTTCAGCATTATCTGCCAGTATGACAGTGTCATCTGCATATCGCAGGTTATTTATACATTGCCCATTTATAATTATACCATCCGAGGTGCCTTCCAAAGCTTTCTGAAATATCTTCTCAGAGTAAACATTGAACAGCAAAGTGATAGGACACATCTCTGTCTTACTCCCTTCTCGATATTGATTTTTCCAGATGTTTCGCTTTTTATTCTGATTTTAGCCTTTTGTTCTTGGTAGAGGTTTAAAATGTAGAGTAGAGTCTTTATCGTCGATATTACATGACCTTAAAATATCTATTAGTTTATCATGTTTCACCAGGTCAAACGCCTTCTGAAAGTCTATAAAACACAAGTATACATCAGAATCGACATCTCTACATCTTTCAACTAGCACACGTATTGAAAAAAGTGCTTCTCTTGTTTCGAACCCATTCTTAAAACCAAACTGAGTTTGACCAGTGTGTTCGTCTAGTTTATTGTATACTCTATTGTGTATTACTCGTAGGAAAAGCTTCAACATATGATTCATCAGGCTAATAATCCTATGGTCTTCACATTTCTTGGAGTTTCTCTTCTTTGGTAGTGGTATAAACACCGATGTCAGCCAATCATTTGGTATTCTGCATGTTTCACCACAAATAATCACCACGAACAGAATACCAGATGAATGAAGAAGAGCGATCATCGTGATGTTCTTTAAAAAAGGAGATAAGAAAGACCCCAATAATTATCGAGCAATAAATCTTTTAAATACAACACTCAAATTGACAACAAAAATAATAGCGACAAAAATAAACGAATATCTCTGCAAGAGGAACAGCAAGGATTTCGGACAGGAAGATCATGCACGGATGCAGTTTTTGTAATAAGACAAATAAAAGTCGCTGGAATACAACAAACAAGGATATATAAATCAACAATAAGACCAATAATGACGTACACAGCGGAAACAAGAGCAGATACGGAGAAAACACAAAGACTGCTGGAAACAACAGAAATGAAAGTCTTATGAAAAATAGCAAACCAAACTCTAAGAGACAGAGTAAGAAGTGAGGAAATACGAGCGAGATGTGGTATAGAGGAAATAAACGCATGTACCAAACGAAGAAAAGTGGAATGGAATCAACACATCGAAAGAATGACAGAAAATAGAATAGTACAAATAGCAAGAGACAAATCGCCAAATGAAAGAAGATCATTGGGACGACCGAGGAAAAGATGGTCAGACAACGTCAAATGAGGCTAAAAATCGAAGTAAAACAGGCATTAAGCCTATTTATAAAGTAGGAAGAAAGAAGAAGAAGAAAACAAACGAAGGGCATCAGCAAATTTGTATTTCCCACTATTCCAGATGAATCTATTGCTGCTTTAAAAGATATCAAGCTCATCATGCCACTCCCAATTCCTTGTGGGCACACTAGCCGACTGGCTTCTTTTACGTTTCAGATAGATTTTGGATTAATGGACATTAGGTAGATACATACCTAGATATTACATTTTTATGTTTACTTATTTTTTTCTGTTCTGCATATACTTTTTGTTTATTTTGGAAGTGTCTTTTGTGTTCAACAAATATGATTTATAAACTATGTTCGCAACAATCAGTAACAAAATTATGTTATGTAATAATGTTTTTCAAAACACAACAGCCTAAATAAGTATTGTTCTGAAGCTATTTTCTTGTGGCATTTTAAATTAATTACTATTTAACTGGGAATAAGCCACAATTAAAAATAAAAATACGTTTATTGAAGTTTCAATTTCCACTTCGGAAATCGTTCTCAAAATACAAACAGTAAATTAAACAAATTTTGTTTTTTGTTACATAGTGAAAAATTCTTCTAATAATTTAATTTTATCTGACTTATTTATATTGACAATTCAGACATACATTATGCATTTTAAAGTAGATGACTTTAAAACTGATATTGCCAATATTGTTGAGTTGCGCTCTTGGGACGATTTTACTTATAAGATAGTTAATTCGATTACATGAAATCAACTTTAACTTGAGAATATCCGTCAGAAAAAATCATAGCATATAATTCGTCTTTAAAAAGACAAACACATGACATGATGACAGTAAAATTCTCCTGTTAGTGATTCCATAGTAAATTATGAGGGAAAAACCAGGAAAAAAACCTCATAATACTATCCCGACATGGTAAGTATTTGTTCGTGCATTTAGTTTACCTTCAATAAACACCAAAATTCTGATTTTATATGTTTCGTTATTTAAAAAACATAAATGATGTATCCTCTATATGTTACTGACTTACTAATACTGGTATTTTCTTATTAATAACTTCCTCTTTCAGTATTGGTAACCAGATCCTACTACATTCTGCCGAGGAATTTGCGACACAATTGGCCTCATTTAGCATAATTAAAGCCGCTTCTTTGATTTTTCTTTTTTTACCATCCGTCTCTTTTAGGACTACATTTGAATTATTCCATTGAACCCTATGTTCATTATCCCATGTGTGTTTACATATTTGAGATCTATCAAATTCTCTATTTTTAATATAAGACTGATGTTCACTTATTCTAACATTTAATGGCCTTGATGTTTCACCTAAATAAAACTGATCGCATTCACAAGGTATTTTATAAATGCGATTCTTTGTCCTTTCTTGTTCATTGTTAGGTTTGGTTTTGGACAAAATAGATCTCAACATGTTTGTTGTTTTGAATGTTGTTGAAATGTTGAATTTATTGCCTATCCTTTTAACTTTTTCTGATAATCCATTTATGTACGGTATTGTTATTTTCCTCGTATTATTCCTTGTGTATGCTGTAGGATCTCGTTCTAAAATGTTCTGTTCTATTCGATCAATTGTTGAAAATTCCTTATTTATAAACGATAAAGGATAATCATTTTTTAATAAAACAGATGTTAACAAATGTTTCTCCTCCAAGAACGAATTTTACTGTCATCATGTCATGTGTTTGTCTTTTTAAAGACGAATTATATGCTATGATTTTTTCTGACGGATATTCTCAAGTTAAAGTTGATTTCATGTAATCAAATGAACTATCTTATAAGTAAAGTCGTCCCAGGAGCGCAACTCAACAATATTGGCAATATCATTTTAAAGTCGTCTACTTTAAAATGCATAATGTATGTCTGTATTGTCAATATAAATGAGTCAGATAAAATTAAATTATTAGAAGAATTTTTCACTATGTAACAAAAGACAAAATTTGTTTAATTTACTGTTTGTATTTTGAGAACGATTTCCGAAGTGGAAATTGAAACGTCAATAAACGTATTTTTATCTTTAATTGTGGCTTATTCCCAGTTAAATAGTAATTAGCCTAAATAAGATTTTTTGACATGCTAGATTATATATTTTCATTTATTTTCCCTGTCTCACTGTTGGATTTAAAGTGTCTCACTGTAAGGCATACGTGTCCTGCAGTTAGACAAATGCACCTATCTATATTCTTGCAAAAAAAAACAAACTTCAAAGTTACAAATATTTCACTTGAAAAGAGATTAATATAAATGTCAACGCCTATGCTGGCGTTTAATTTTTTCATTTTGGATGGATAAAAACAAAATTACACTAAAGTAAAAAAAAACTGTCTCACTGTTGGGATGGCTCCTCTAAACTTATCAAAATTTGTGTCAAAAATAATTTAAAAAGAGACAAACAAATAAAACAGCTAAGATAACTCTTAAGAATTATAATGTTGATATATTATATTCTACATTTTTATTTAAACAAAATACTTATTGATCACTAACAGTACCTTCTATAATATTAGGATCAGTGATTCCCAATTGACGCAACTTCTTTTTATGTTTCTGTCCTTGAAAGTGAATATTCAGCTGTTCTTGGCACGTAGTTCCGATGTCACAGACCGAACATCTGAACTTGCTTGGTGTCGAAGACGGTTGAGATGTTTTGGGAGTTGTGGTAGTTGTAGAAGTCACGGCAGTTTCAGGTTTTTTTTCTCGGAAATCCTGTCCGAAGCCGTCTTCGCCATCTTTGAGAACTACCGGTTTTCTTGGGCTATATAAAGTATTGGTGAATTAATAAGTATATACTTCTACTGATATTTTTTTAAATTATTTATGGAATAAAACATTCTAAAAAAACTTTATAACAAATGGATCCTATATACGGGGTCAGGATCCTATATAAGCCACGTTACCAGAGGTGCGAAATATGAGATGTTAAGACTCATAATGCAAGGGTAAAAGATCCATAGGAAGACAAAGAATTTCCTGGCTAAGAAACCTAAGAGAGTGGTATAGTTGCAGCTTAGTAGTCTTTTTACTATTTCATTAGAAGAAAAATATCGTGGCTTCGTAATCTACGTGAATGGTTCGGGTGTAGTTCGATTGAACTTTTTAGGCGCGCTGCTAACAAAGTCGCTGTGGCCATGATGATTTCCAATCTCCGCTAGGAGTGGCACGAGAAGAAGAAGAAGTCTTTTCAGAGCGGCCGCCAATAAAGTACGAATAGCTGTGATGATAGCCAACCACCGATAGGAGAAAGAGCTACAAGAAAAAGAAGAACACCCTAAAAGATTATGTTGGAGATTGTACAACAAATGTATAAACGTAATAAATTTATAGATTATTTGAATTAAAAATAATAGACAATCATCAATACATATATCTTGAAGCATTAGGTAGCAGATATGTGTATGATGGTGTATTACTTATAATTATTAAAGATTGAGGGGTAAAATGTTTTGTGTGTAGATTTGGAACGTATAGAGGCATACTCAAGTCAGTTTTAATGAAAGGTTAGTGTGTACTATATTGTAAACGATACAGTTGAAAATTGTAAAACAAGGTATAAATATGATAAATTTAAAAAAATTATTTGAATAAAAAAGTGGCAGACATTAATACATGTATCTGATAAATACAGGAAAAATTGGAATATTATAAGACCCTATATGTCTTGGTACCTGAAAATTATATGATATTTTACATTTTTCACACGGCTATGGCTTAGAAGCACTTTCCAACAAGTGGAAAGTGCTTTGATATGGCACTTTCCATATCAAATGTGATATGATATGAATACATAGCAAATGTGCCATGATTCGATCACAAACCGGTATAGAATAAGAACAAATATAGAAATAAAAGAACTTTACTATGATAATGATTTATCTACAGATTAATACCAACCACTAACGTGGGCAGTGCACATACATAGACTGCATAATGAGAAACTTGTAAAACTGGTTTGGGATGAAGTCCTCAAAGGAAAAACATCATTTGGGCGTCCCGAAATGTAATGGAACAATGGAACAATCAATCGAATGCAAACAATCAAAAAAATATATGTAACAACAAAACACTGAAAACTTTGTTTTCAAACTTCCACAAAATTTATTTTAAATCTTATCACTACAGCTGTTTTGGCTGATTGCCTTTCTCAAGTGATCTATTTTTGGCTTGGGTTTACAAATTTATAGTCTCTAATGAAATAGGTTGAGGAGGGGAGAACTGTTTGTCTCAAGTTGGTCATTCAGAATTATATCTGTGTTTTTTAATTTGTTGATTTCCATAGATTCTAATAAAGATAGCTTAAGGCCTTGATTTTGAATGTGAAGAATTTTAAATTTGTCATTAAAAGAATGATTATGATCTAGAAGGTGAAGTGCGTACGTCGAATCTGTTTTTCTATTCTTGAAAGCTCTTTTATGTTCTGCTATTCGTTTATCAAAGTTTCTACCAGTTTGACCGATGTAAGTTTTTGGGCAGTCGCCACATTGAAGTTTGTACACACCACTATTTAAGTGTTTTTTATTTTGGCTCTTGTTATTTTTAATATATTTGCCTAGGTTGTTATTTGTTCGGAAAGCTGGTGTTATTCCTTTCTTTTTTAAGTGTTTGGCAATTTTTGTTGTTATTTTGCCTGTATATGTAATCGAGCAGAAGGTACTGGGTTTTTCTCTGGTGGTGGAAATACTAATGGTGGTAAATCACAAGCAATTAGTCAAACATAAATTAAAATAAACGGATTAAACAAACGTAAACGTGAGACTCGTTGCAGAAGAAGTCTTCTTTTGGTACCTATTCGTTTCAAATATTGACGATCATTCTTACTATAATTATTTTATTAACTGATGCTTTAAATAGATCAGTTGTTGTTGTGCAGAACTATTTCCTCAGGTTTTTTAACCATGATATTCTTCTCCCAATTCCTCGCTTTCCAAATACTTTGCCTTGAAGGATTATTTTCAGTAATCTGTATTTAATGCCGTTTCCATTATATGTCCTAGATATTCTAACTTTCCCCTTTTAATGGTATACATCACCTCTATTTCTTTCCCCATTCTTCGTAGCACAGTCTCGTTGGTTATCTTGTCCCTCCATGATATCCTTAGGATTCTTTTGTATAGCCACATCTCGGAGCTACAGAAAAAGTAGTATAGAATAAGCAAGCAATATATTAAATGCCTGGGAATAAAGGACAGTAAGTAAAACTTAACAAACTCACTTTGTTAAGAAATGCGCTGAAAAGCAATGGATAGCACGGGAAATAAATCAAATTGGGAAAGTTGAATCCCTATATGATCAAGATCAAGGTAATGATGATTATAATTACTACGACTTACCCTTTCCTAACCCATTTTCCTTCACTATTGTAATGTCCACTACCTGTAGGCAATTTGTATCCCATAACTACTCTAAAAAAAATAAGTTACATTAAAAACAATTTAAGCTTTGAATTTAGGCATAAATATATACAAACTACTCTTTCTATGTCACTAATCTGAATTAATATATAATCTATATTAAAAATCTTTTAATATAATTATATTTTTTGATATCATATCCCTACATTCCTACAAAATGTTAATTTTACTACGAAATTAATAACAAAACGTAATTTTCTTTTCAATTACTTCTTATAACACTGTCCAACCTTATAGTTAAAAACGAGAATATTGAGAAGAGTGAAAAATGTAAAAATGTACAGGGTGTTCCATAAAAAATGTTTGTTCCACTCCTTAAATATGGGTATCCCTGTATATTTGAAAATATTTTTAGAGTATGATCCTACCTATGCTCCAACTTTTACCTAAATAATTTTTTTTGTATCTCTTACAAGAAGTGAGTAATTGGACTTTTTCGCAGTAATGCTGCACCCTGTATACTAATAAAACTTCTGTCTTTTAACAAAGAAAAATCATATAATAAATAGATAAATGGGTAAGACAAATGTTAAATTGTACTAAATTATACAGCGGATATTTAACAAAATATAAATGTTTTGTCTAAATTTTCTTAAAGTAGTTCATACTTACTTTTGGTGGTTTTTTCCCATATAATGTGATTCGGCATGCATTCTTCCAGTTAATGGTAAGTCACATTCAACGCAATGATACCATTTAGGATCTGCTTCTTTCTCTGGTTTTGCCGACGAAATAACAGTTGCTCGTTTGTGGACTGGGGTATTAGTGGATTCCGCATAATCCAATAGGAACTTTCGTACCTAAAAATCGATAACTATTAATATACTCAAAGTTAGTATTAGAATATAAAAAAAAGAATAAATAAATAATAATAAAAATACTCTTGTCAGCCTAAAGGCTAGGAAGAGTATTTCAAAAAACTTTTAATAGGGAATAGAGTACAATTTCAAGAATATGGAAACCAAAACCAATATAAAATTGCAATAGTAGGCTCGCCAATAAGATTAACAAGAGAAGAAATTAAAAATTTAAGTAAACACATGAAGAAAAAGAACACACCCAGACCAGGAATACACCTGGAGAATTGTTTAAGTATGACACAAACAAATTATACCAACATCTTTGGCAACTGATGACAGAAGGAAGTAAAAATTGCTTGCAAGTAACAAAACCTATATGATAAGTGATAAGTAGGTGTTTTTAAAGTGTGATCAGATAATTCAGGGTGTTATTTAGAATCAAATTTATATTACTGTTTGAAATGATATTTTAGATTTTTTTGGCCTTAGGTGCAATACCTACTTATTTAGCCAGACAATTGGTTTGATAAGTGAAAACAATTAACTCTTTTATATATCCTTTAAATTGAATTAGATAATTACCTACTTAATACATTCACTAAATTTCCTAACCTTCCCATTAAAAACACTATTGGTGACTGCACAAAATGGATTGAACACGAACTGGTCAAAATCTGTATATAATGCATATAGAGGAAAATGGACATATATTTGAATTGTTTAAATACCTTTTTTTCATGATTTTTTGATCTGTAATGTAGTTTTGCCATTACATTACTACTTAAATGGGCTGCACAAAGTTTACAATATAAGGGTTGGAATTGTTTTTTCAGTTCCTTTGGAAGAGTTGGATCACTGATATCAGGTGCAATTTCTCTAACTAAAACAAAAAATATTATATAAATAGTAATTTTGGCATTAAAAACATGTATAGTATTTATGAAGTCAGTTGAAACATTTCACTCCGAAGCGATTTATGAGGGCAGTTCAATATTACATTTACCAGTAATCAAGTTGAAGTATAAATAACACACATCAATGTTTCAAACGTATTTGAACAATCCCCAAACTTTGTAGGAAAGATATTGAAGAAAGAAGGAATGAAAGATACATCCCATCAAATAAATATTGGACATTGATATGTTATTTAAAATCATCAATATTTAACACTCTACTTGGAGGTTCGCTTCCAGGCAGCAATGGTGTACAGATAAGAAACGCTGTTGATTCATGCCAGTGCTGTACAGCTAAAATGTTTATTATTTTACAAAGTATAATAACTGTTTTAAATCATTATACTGTCAATATGGCCTAATGCCATTATATATAAATTATTTTTGTTGCTAAATATGACATGTTAACAATTTTTTTTTATACACTTATGTACTTTACGATACTTTTAAGTAAATTAAAATAATCGTCCTTAGTCTGTTCATCAATAATATATATTTTAATATAAAAATAAATGATGCGTCCATGTCTGGTAATACGATATTATTCTTTTAATGTTTGTCAGCAATCAGTTTTTTGGGTGTTTCAACCAACTTTATAAATACTATAACAACATTTTTTAAATGCGGGTACAAACGTCAGTATATTATTATATTATTAAAAAATAATTACTTACATATGTCTTTCTGATAATTTTTGGGTGCTTCCTTAATACTAGATAAAGTTTCACAAATATTTTGAGTTATAGGTCCTACTGCACTAGGTGTGAGATTATATAGTTTATTATATTCGGAACGATATGCAGTAGAATTTTGCCATTCGCCTTGTTCGAATTTATTGTTATATTCATAATATGAGTTATCAGCTATTGAGTTACCAGCATTATATATAAATTGTGAATTACTTTGAACGCTGCTATTGGTATCTTCTGTTTTCTTTTTGGGAATCTTGAATTTTGTATCAGTGTCAATGTCTAAAACAAATTAATTGTTAATAACAAGTTTTAATAAACAATTCTAACTGTTACTCCCATAAGATATGACATTTACACAGGAATATTTAATATTTTACAAAAAAAGCTATATATTCAGGGATTCTACAGTATCCACTGCCTTCAACCGTTTCCATCTCTCTGTTGTCCCATTCTCCATCGTTTAGGCCTCTCTTACTTTTGGAGTCATCTACTTCGTTCCTCCAGGATCTTCGGGGTCATCCTCTTTTCCTCCTTCCTATGGGGCTTTACAAAAAGACTAATTCTAAAATTAAATTTCAATATTAAACTGATTAAATGCGTATTCTAGAATCCTTAAGTTAACATCCTTATTACAACAAAAATCTGTTATAGGATATAGGTTACAGAATGGCACTCAATTCTGTAATATCATACTATCATAGGCATTGCTAATAAATTTGAGCAGGTTTAGTATTCACTCATAAAAAATAATGTTCATATACTAGATAGGATGAAATTATACTTACCATCTTTATCAATTTTCCTTTTCTTGCTTTCAGTGTAGGAATCTAAAACAATATAATTTATTTAACAAATATATTAGTATTTTAAAAATCCTCTTACCCTTTATGTAACTCATTAGGAAAGTTAAAGTTAAAATCTAAATTAACGCTTAATATTTTGGTTTTGACAATATTACAATAATATTAAAAATGTGTCAAAATTGTATCAGCTTTGAAGGAAATGTCAACTTTAAATCAATTCTTACTACTATATAGGCAACTTTTCTTACATAAATGGATTAGGGCACTATTTTGCCACAATTTATTGATGTGTCTCGCATCAAGCGAAAGCTACTTTTACTATTGTATTTCATGGAAGTAACGATCAAAGATGGTTTTGGTAAAGCCGTACTCTTCTAAAAGTCATTAATCTTGATGACTTTATAAAATATACAAGATTGTAGCCAAGAATGGCCAAGATCAAGGCACGTTTTTATTTGTGCACCCTTCCGTTTGATGGCATTGCTAGTCTTGTTTCTGCGCAATGTTCGTTGTCATCACAGATAAATTAAACCTGGTAGGAGTGTGCTGTGGTTGTCAGTTTGTCACTTTATGTCATTAAACTCCAAGGTCAGTAAATAGACAGAGGTTGTCTAGTAACTTTACACCAATCAGGGTCGAGAATCTAATGGCAGGAATGATTGCTACATTCAAATTCATTCACCTTACTCCTTGAAATGAACTCGGAAAGCAGCAATGTTTGAAAATATATTAATCTATGTATATTAAAAAAAAATACTTTGGACTTTTAATGACTATTTATTTCATTCAATCTTTACCAAATTAATGTGGGAGATACCTGCAGAGTTACAGAAATTGTACAATATAATTGCAACTATAAATATACGTAGTAGAATAGCATCACAGCTTAATTAAATTAGATTTAGATTCTTTTGTATATACATGACTAAAGCATGCTAATATACTATATTATTAATTGGTTGCATGCAATTTTCTTTTTTAAATTATTTTGAATAAATAATTTTTAATTGGGGATAATGCATGTAGTACATTATTGCCAATTCTTCAAACAAGTACACCATGCTGAAAATAGATTCAACTAAATATTTATATATCAGAATTAGTAGTTTTTCCCTTAGGTTCAACATATTTAAGAACATCAATCTAATTACATTACTGGATTTGAAAAATATGTTTTGCCTTTTTCTTAAACTTAGTTTCGCTTTCTATAGCTGCCTCAAGTTCTCTTATTCGTGATTTACGATCGTTTTCAGTATTTTCCTTTTCTAGAAGTTTTTGTTGAAGTTTCACGTTTTCTGCCTCTATTTCACGATTATCCTCATAATCTTCCATATAATACCAAAGTGTATTCTACAAAACTATTTTATTTATTAACACAGTACCGCTTATCCTTCCTATGACACTTGCTAATTCATTGCTTTTGAATTTTTATTTTTTGCGTCTATGTTCGCGCATATATATTGTATATCAATATATATTGTATATAAATAAAGATTCATGTTCTAAGGTTAAGATTTAAAGTTAATGTAACTAGAAAAGCAAAATGTACAAAACAGTACTATATATACTATTTTTTTGGTAATTGTACCTTCATCTATTTTAGCAATGTTTATTAAATATATAAAAATTGATGTACACTGTCATTTGTCTCCTATTTCTAAAAGTTGAGATAAAATCAATTATGAATAAAGTTGGGCACATAACGGTTTCTTAATATTGTAAGCTATTTTCTTGTAGCATTTTAAATTAATTACTATTTAACTGGGAATAAACGTATTTTTACCTTTAATTGTGGCTTATTCCCAGTTAAATAGTAATTAAAATAAATTATATTATTTTTCTAAGGATAAAATGTTTTTAACACCATTTTCAAAACACAGTACATAGCCCTCTAGTAAGGTAAATTCGATAGACAGTTTTTAGCGCCAAATGCGGACGGGCCAAAACTAATTTTACAAGGTGAGTACATAGACAGGTTGTCTGGTAACTTTACACCAACCGGTATCGAAAATCTAATGGAGTGAATGACGTCACTAAGAATGCTACATTCAAATTCATTCTCCTGACTGGTTAAAATGAACTAGGAAAGCAACATTGATTGTAAATATATTAATCTATGTATATTAAAAAAAGTAACATACTTTTGCACTTTTAATGAGTATTTATTTCATTCAATGTTTAAAAAATGACGTAGATATCTGAAGAGTTATAGATATTGTAAAATATATTGCAACTAAATATATGTATTAGAGTAACACACTACTTTTTAAATTAGAAGTGGATTCTTTCTTTTATATATATGTGAAGTATGCTTATATACTATAGAAGATTATTGACGCTTATAGATAAACGTCTATATTCTTTGATACTACATTAATTGTGGATTGAATACAATTTACTTTTTTTTAATTATTTTGAAAAATATATATCCATGTCCATGAAAATCTATAATAATGGAATATTATTAAAATTAAGAATAAATGACTTTTTTATAAAATAAACTTTTAGGAAATTATAAGGGTTAAGTTTTAATGATTTTAAACTATATATTGTATATAAATAAAGATTCATATTCTAAGGTTAAGATTTAAAGTTAATGTAACTAGAAAAGCAAAATGTCCAAAACAGTACTATACTATTTTGGTAATTGTACCTTCATCTATTTTAGCAATGTTTATTAAATATATAAAAATTGATGTACACTGTCATTGTCTTCTATTTTTGAGATAAAATCAATTATGAATAACGACGGGCACATAACGGTTTCTTAATATTGTAAGCTATTTTCTTGTGGCATTTTAAATTAATTACTATTTAACTGGGAATAAACGTATTTTTACCTTTAATTGTGGCTTATTCCCAGTTAAATAGTAACTAAAATCAATTATATTATTTTTCTATGGATAAAATGTTTTTGACACCATTTGCAAAACACAGTACATAGCCCTCTAGTAAGGTAAGTTCGATAGACAGTTTTTAGCGCCATATGCGGACGGGCCAAAACTAATTTTACAAGGTGAGTACATAGACAGGTTGTCTGGTAACTTTACACCAACTAGTGTCGAGAATCTAATGGAGTGAATGACGTCACTAGGAATGCTACATTCAAATTCATTCTCCTGACTGGTTAAAATGAACTAGGAAAGTAACATTGATTGTAAATATATTAATCTATGTATATTAAAAAAAGTAACATACTTTTGCACTTCTAATGAGTATTTATTTCATTCAATGTTTACAAAATGTGGCAGATACCTGCAGAGTTATTGAAATTGTAAAATATATTGCAACTAAATATATGTAGTAGAATAACACTACTACTTAATTAAATTAGAAGTGGATTCTTTCTTTTGTACACATTTGAAGCATGCTTATATACTATAGAAGAATATAGACGCTTCATATTCAATTTTTATATATTTAATAAACATTGCTAAAATAGATGAAGGTACAATTACCAAAAAAATAGTATATATAATACTGTTTTGTACATTTTGCTTTTCTAGTTACATTAACTTTAAATCTTAACCTTAGAACATGAATCTTTATTTATATACAATATATAGTTTAAAATCATTAAAACTTAACTCATAATTTCCTAAAAGTTTATTTTATAAAAAAGTCATTTATTCTTAATTTTAATAATATTCCATTATTATAGATTTTCATGGACATGGACATATATTTTTCAAAATAAATAAAAAAAAATAAAATTGTATTCAATCCACTATAGCACTAACCTAACCTAACCTGGTTAGGTTAGGTTAGGTTAGGTTGGGTTAGGTTAGGTTAGGTTAGGTTAGGTTATGTTAGGTTAGGTTAGGTTAGTGCTATAGTGGATTGACTACAATTTTAGTTTTTTTATTTATTTTGAAAAATATATGTAACCAGGTTAGGTTAGGTTAGGTTAGGTTAGGTCAGGTTAGGTTAGTGCTATAGTGGATTGAAGACAATTTTAGTTTTTTTATTTATTTTGAAAAATATATGTCCATGTCCATGAAAATCTATAATAATGGAATATTATTAAAATTAAGAATAAATGACTTTTTTATACAATAAACTTTTAGGAAATTATAAGAGTTAAGTTTTAATGATTTTAAACTATATATTGTATATAAATAAAGATTCATGTTCTAAGGTTAAGATTTAAAGTTAATGTAACTAGAAAAGCAAAATGTACAAAACAGTACTATATATACTATTTTTTTGGTAATTGTACCTTCATCTATTTTAGCAATGTTTATTAAATATATAAAAATTGATGTACACTGTCATTTGTCTCCTATTTCTAAAAGTTGAGATAAAATCAATTATGAATAAAGTTGGGCACATAACGGTTTCTTAATATTGTAAGCTATTTTCTTGTAGCATTTTAAATTAATTACTATTTAACTGGGAATAAACGTATTTTTACCTTTAATTGTGGCTTATTCCCAGTTAAATAGTAATTAAAATCAATTATATTATTTTTCTAAGGATAAAATGTTTTTGACACCATTTTCAAAACACAGTACATAGCCCTCTAGTAAGGTAAATTCGACAGAGAGTGTTTAGCGCCAAATGCGGACGGGCCAAAACTAATTTTACAAGGTGAGTACATAGACAGGTTGTCTGGTAACTTTATACCAACCGGTATCGAAAATCTAATGGTGTGAATGACGTCACTAAGAATGCTACATTCAAATTCATTCTCCTGACTGGTTAAAATGAACTAGGAAAGCAACATTGATTGTAAATATATTAATCTATGTATATTAAAAAAAGTAACATACTTTTGCACTTCTAATGAGTATTTATTTCATTCAATGTTTACAAAATGTGGTAGATACCTGCGGAGTTATAGAAATTGTAAAATATATTGCAACTAAATATATGTAGTAGAATAACACTACTACTTAATTAAATTAGAAGTGGATTCTTTCTTTTGTACACATGTGAAGCATGCTTATACACTATAGAAGAATATAGACGCTTCATATTCAATTTTAATATATTTAATAAACATTGCTAAAATAGATAAAGGTACAGTTACCAAAAAAAAAGTAATATAATACTGTTTTGTACATTTTGCTTTTCTAGTTACATTAACTTTAAATCTTAACCTTAGAACACGAATTTTTATTTATATACAATATATAGTTTAAAATCATCAAAACTTAACACTTATAATTTCCTAAAAGTTTATTTTATAAAAAAGTCATTTATTCTTAATTTTAATAATATTCCATTATTATAGATTTTCATGGACATGGACATATATTTTTCAAAATAAATAAAAAAACTAAAATTGTATTCAATCCACTATAGCACTAACCTAACCTAACCCAACCTAGGTCTACTACCGAAGATTTTCTAAGAGTATCAATCAAATGTCCGTTGGATGCTTTTAGGGCTTATTTCACTGAAGAAGTGTTACATCATATTGTGACAGAAACAAATCGTTACGCTGGTCAGAAATTAGTGCATAATTTGAACGCTACTGAGGAGGAAATTATGTCATTTGTAGGCATTATGCTTTTATCTGGTTACCACCCACTTCCAAACAGAAGATTGTACTGGAAACAAGACCCCGATGTTCATTTACCATTATTTTCCGATTCATTGCGACGGACTCGTTTTGACGAGCTGATGAGTTTTATTCACTTGGCAGATAACCAAACCCAAGATGTCACAGACTCTCTGTATAAAGTTCGTCCATTATTTGATCTCCTAAATCCCATTTTCAAACAAATCTCGACAGGTCCCGAAATTAGCATTGACGAAAGTATGATTCCTTATTATGGAAGGCATCACAATAAACAATTTATAAAAGGTAAGCCAATTCGATTCGGATACAAGTTATGGGTTGCTGCAGATCCTTGTGGGTACGTTTATCGTGCTGAACCTTACTGTGGTAGTGCAACATGTTTACCTAAAACCGATTTAGGACAAGGAGGGGATGTTGTTCTGGGCCTCACTGATCACATACAAGTAAAGAAAGGAACCAGACTATATTTTGACAACTTATTTACATCCGTTGGATTGATGAACGAACTGACTGTCAGAGGACTTGGTGGTATTGGTACCTTGAGAGAAAATCGATGCAATGATACCATGAAACTTCCAGAAAAAAGTCAATTCAAAAAAAAATCCCAGAGGACAACTTGCCACATCATCCACAGATCATTTATTATTGGTTCGATGGAATGATAATAGCGTTGTGACTGTGCTTACCAACTGTGACCCAATACATCCAATGAAGAAATCCAATCGTTATAGCAGAAGCGAAAAGAAAAAAATTTCTGTAGATGTTCCTGGGCCTATATCAAACTATAATAGTAATATGGGAGGTGTAGATTTATCTGACCAATTTTTGGCAACATATCGTTGCAGAATACGATCAAAAAAATGGTGGTGGCCGTACTTTTCATGGGCTATAGATATGTGTTGTGTTCAAAGTTGGCTTCTGTATCGTCGTCTTGGTCATGAAATTCCCCTTCTTCACTTTAAACGACAATGCGTTATTCAAATTTTGAAAACATTCGGCACTGCTCCTCATGCACCGGGTGTCAGATCATCATTGCAGTTTTCACCAGCTCTTGAAGAAATCCGCAAGGATGGTAAACAACATGTGATCGAACAAGGATCTTCAAAGTACCGTCGGTGTAAGATTTGTGGAAGTCGTACTTCCTTCTTATGTTCAAAGTGTCAGATACCTCTCCATCCAGCTAATTGTTTTAAAGTGTTTCATGAGAAATAAATTTTTTTTTCTGTTTTTTTGTACCCTTTAATTCCCAGTGGCAACTAAAGTTGCCAGTCAAAAAATCACTCAATCTGTCAAACAATTTTTTTCTCTTCGATATATTATTTTTAATAATCATTTTCCAACAACGTCCACAAAAAAATACAGTGAAATGTTAACTAGGGAATTATGGGCATTAATGGGTTAACGTCTCTCAAAAAGCAGACAAGTCTTAGTTTTTTTAGGATATGGACAAAATTAATAGGGGTTTGAAAATAAATCACTTTTTAAATAAAATATAAATAAAATATTTAATTCGAATATTTCTAAAATATAATAAAAATTATATATTTTTATATAATAATCTAATAGACAAACGTTTTTAACATGTCTAAACGCTAAAACAGTCAAAATGAGCAAAATGGCTACATTCTTAGAAAATAAGAAAACTAGTCTTTAAACTTTATTTTAATTTCAACTATCACTATTTCATTACAGTATCTTCGACGTCTCATCTTCAAATACGTCGTCAGCCTAAAAAATAATAAAATTATGTTTAGTAATGCATTAATTTTTTAAATATATAAATGACTTTAAAAAAAAATCACACAAAGAATTGTCAAACCCGAATAACAATTTTCTATGCAATTCCGTTTTGCTTCGGCAAAAAATGATTATATTTTGAAGTGTAAACATTGACTGCACATGTTTTGAAACGAAACATTGTTTTCCGAGCTTATAGGTCATCTTCTTGAATTATTTCTTTCTAACGCTTCATCTGCAACTGCAGCAAACATAAAAGGTGATGCGCGACAGCCTAAGCTGTCCTTCGCTAACTGAGGGTGCTTTTCGAATATGTCCGTTATTGATAGCTTTGTGTTGTCTCGCGCTCTACATGGTTTTTCTGAAATGTATCGAAATTTTTACTACATCTGTGTAGAGATTTCGTGAAGTTCCTATCCTTTACAATTAAAATTGACGGGAGTTCTTGGACATTAATGGTTTCTCTGAACAATCGTGGATAGTAGCGTGTTGTTTCACTAACTACCTGGGTCTTCAGGTAAAATTTGGTGGTTTTTGTGTGATGTATGTTCGGAAATGGTTATACTTTTATAGTAACAAGACGACAGATATGGGTAGCGGGTAGAAACTCCTTTAGATAGTCCTATCAGGGAAAATGAATCAATCCCTACCTTCGAGGATAGGGATTGAGTCATTTTCCCTTGAGGATAGGAAGGACTTGGAAAAAAGACGACAATTTCTCTTTTGTTCGGCCAAAAAAGTATTTACACTGCGTTTTGTTGTTCAAAAAGTACACTGAATCACAACTAGAGGGTATTCAAGGGTCTGCTGAACCTTTTTGGGTTTCTTGTTCATTCTTCGTTGAGTTTATTCTTTCTTGCATGATACTAATTGTTGATTCCGGGATGCCATACACCATCAAAATTATTAGCAAGTTCAGCACAACTTCATGCATCAATGTTTCCACATCAATTGTACCTTAATACACTGCTGCTGTTGTTGCTTTACTGTATCTATCTCCTCTTTTAAGGCATTGGATTAGCTCCTCTAGTTGAATGGACTTGTTAATAAAAACAAGTATTTTTTTGAAGAAAAGCACACAGTCTTCGCAGAAGAACAAAATAATCCGTTTTTGAACGACAATGGTTCTCTGTTCACTTGCACAAAGACCCGAGATTTTGGTTCGGGAAACGTGGATAACAAGGCAGCTATCACATCTAGGAGCATTCTCAATTTGATCATCATTAATTGGTTTTCATTTTCACAATATAACCTCTAAACATTTTGTGTCAAAAAACACTAAGTTTGAACAATAATATCTGTCCAAAGTCTTCACTTTTCTGTATGCGAATATTTTAGGGAATTAATTACAAGCATAACAAATATATGTGATCAATTTTGAGGTTAGGTAAACGTTTTAAATAATGGTAAATGATTATTCGACTACTATTCAATTATTGCTATATTCGGAATCTTAAAAACAGAATAGAAGATAGAAACTCACCTCCAATAAATCATCGGCTCCTACATAATCTCCACTTCCACCTATATATTCGTTGCTATCATTATCATCGTCATCGAGATCTATAAAATTCATCCTCGTACTAGTACTGACCTGGTTCTCATCGGATTCGATGGATCCCTCGGATTTTAATAAAACCGACTTATAGTCGTTATTGTCAAATATTTTTGGTTTCAATTCCGGTATGTCATATGACGTACTTTGCTGTATATCTTCCAAGGAAACGTAGTTGTAGGAATCAAGATCGATGTACGAGTCAACTTCTTGTTCACAGCTGATATTTGGTGACTTGATTTCCTCTTTTGGTGTTTCGACAATATCTAGAATAAGACTTTGATTAACATATTTTTTATGAATCTGGTGGTATCAAGAAACTAACTTCAAATCAATTACTATTTAACTGGGAATAAGCCACAATTAAAGATAAAAATACGTTTATTGACGTTTCAATTTCCACTTCGGAAATCGTTCTCAAAATACAAACAGTAAATTAAACAAATTTTGTGTTTTGTTACATAGTGAAAAATTCTTCTAATAATTTAATTTTATCTGACTCATTTATATTGATAATTCAGACATACATTATGCATTTTAAAGTAGACGACTTTAAAATGGTATTGCCAATATTGTTGAGTTGCGCTCCTGGGACGACTTTACTTATAAGATAGTTCATTCGATTACATGAAATCAACTTTAACTTGAGAATATCCGTCACAAAAAAATCATAGCATATAATTCGTCTTTAAAAAGACAAACACATGACATGATGCCGTAAAATTCTCCTGTTAGTGATTCCATAGTAGATAGATAGATAGATAGTTTATTTGACTGTAAGTTACAACTAGGTTTACAGCAAGTCAAAACTAAAACTATAAATATTAAATATTACAAAAAATGGAAACAATACATTAAAAATATTTGAGACATTAAAATACTTAAACAACGTACAATATAGACATATACAGTCAAAATAGTTTATAACGAACTTCAGGGGACTGGTGCTTTTTGTACGTTGTAGCCAGTGTTCTCTGTAAGCAGTTCTATCGGTTATAATGAACAGGTTGCTATAAACGATATAACACTAATAGGGACAGTTAGTTCGTTGTACCTAGGGTTATGACGCAAAAATGTGTTACTTTAACTATACTTATAATATGTTATAATAACATATACATAACATTTAACATATGTGTTTATTGTACTTAAGCAAATCTAAAAAAGTACATACATATATGTATAATATGTAGTGAAATAAGTATAAGTAAAATGTAAATAAAATGTAGGCATACATATACTATTTATTTTAAAAAGACAAAAAAAAATACATACATATATGTATTACAAAATATGTAAACACATTTTACCTGAATATTTAATGAAAAAAGTCTGTAATTTTTGTTTGTCGCCTTCCTTGAACTTCTGAAAAAAACATTTTTTCAATTGATGTGGAAACAATCGATAATGATTCTTTTACACTCTGGGAAGTTTCAGCAGTCTGAATAAATGCTCGTATGGTGGAACAAGCAGCATACGCTTCAGCAACAGTAGGGATTTTGCCGAAATCTTCCAATTCTTCATCAGCCTCATCAGTACTTTGTTTGTCACTAGTTTGGTGACTCAGTACGATGTCAATATCTGAGAGTTCTTCGCTCGTACTTATTTCGTCATCCACTCGTACATAGTCATCTGCAGAACTGAAAAGGGAAATGGCATACTGCAAATGCGTTTGTGCAATATCGTTGTATGCGATTCCTGATGGTTGTAAGTCTTTAGTTAGGCCGGAAAAACGAAAACAGTTGATGATCGTTTCCTTCCGCACAGATTCCCATGCCTTTGATATCATTAGTACAGCGTCAAGAATACTGACTTTCGTATCGTCGTTATTCTCTCTCTTTTCGATGATTTTGTACACCAATTCTTTCCGAAAGCATGCTTTAAGACTTCTTATAACTCCTTGGTCCATGGGCTGCAGTACAGACGTACAATTTGGAGGCAGAAAAAACGAGTTTAATTTGTTTTAACCTGTCAACTGGAGGGTGGGATGGACAGTTGTCGACAATTAAAATTATGTGTTTCTTTTGTTGTAAAAGTTCACTGTCCCATTTTAGTAAAGTCTTTTCAAAAATAGCTGACGTCATCCAGGCTTTTTTATTGAAATCATAATCAACAGGGAGATTTTTCACGTTTTTAAAACAGCGCGGCATTTTACTTTTTCCTATCACCAAAAGCTTCCTTTTTATGGAACCAGACATGTTGGCTGCAACAAGAACTGTAACACGCTCTTTTGAGAGTTTACCACCGGAACATTTCTCGCCTTTAAACTTTAACGTGTGATCAGGTGTCAGTCTAAAAAATAACCCCATCTCGTCAGCATTAAAAATTTCATCATCGCTATAGTCGGACCTGAGTGTAGGCCACACATTTTCAACCCAGTCATTTATAATTGATCTGTCAACAACTGCTGACTCACCTGAAATTTTTCCATGGACAATATTGTGGCGAGCTCGAAAACGTTGAACCCAGGAAGCATTACACTTAAAAGTCTTCTTCAAAATCACAGCGAAAGCATCAGCCTTTACCTGAAGCATCGGCCCACTCACGGGTACATTGTTTGCGCGTTGTCGTTTAAACCAATCGAGCAAAGCACTTTCAATGTCACTGTAATTTGATGACCGAACGCGTTTTCCTTTTTCACACTTATTAAATTGCTTAATAATTTTCTCTCGCCTTTTCATTATTCCAGCAATTGTCGAGCGTGACGTTTTAAATTCCCGGGCAATCGAACTCACGGAATCACCGGAATCGACTCGGCAAATTATTCCAAACTGTTCCTCAATGGTAAATTGTTTCCGTGACATTTTTTCAATGAAGGCTAGACACAACTAAATTCAAATTCAGAAACTCTTGGCTTAGGCCAAATGGTGAAATATGTATAAACAAAATTTTGTAATACAATGGACCCGTCTTGGGAGGTCTAACTGTCTAAAGGACAAGTAGATGCCTGTCCGGATGTACTATAACCATAAATTAATAAATTCTTACTTCTCATTTCGTGGTATTAAATATCGGTAATACCTGTGAGAAATACAACACTACAATGTCCATTTTCATAACAGGATAGCACTTTTAAACTTATTTATTAAGATGTACGCTGTAACCAATATTTTAACTACTAGTGTTCCAAGAAATACGTTTGCTCTAACCGATTTGTTCATTATAAGCAATATAAATGCGTTTTTTGTATGTCATTTTATGGGATCTACTATTTTGTTTGTTATATCCGATTGTACGTTATAGCCGGTGTCGTTGTAAACGATTTTGACTGTAATTAAAATATTAATAAATTTGGTTATGTTGCAGCTTAGGCATTGACAGATACACCCTCGTAATATTCACCTAATGTGTAAGGACACATGGTCACTAGGTACTCTTTGACTTGGTTTTTAAAAGCTGTAGTTGAATTAATGTTTTTAAAATTCTGAGGAAGTTGATTATACAGTAGTAAACCACAGATAGTAGATGACTTCCTGCTTATTTCTAAATGTCGATAGGGTACTACAAACTGTCTCTCATTTCTTGTGTTGTGTAAGTGAATATCACTGTTACATAAAAAAGTTCTTTTATTTTTATGAATTAGTATAAATAATTCCAAAAATGTAAATTCCATACACTGTTAATATATTTAAATCTCTAAATAGGTTTTTACAAGACCAACCATACGGAACACCTGCTATACATCTGACAATACGTTTTTGGGCCTTGAAAACGTCCTTTACACTAGAAGAACCACCCCAGACAGTTATACCGTAACTTATTGTCGATTGTACCTCAGCAAAATAAAAAAGACGAAGGTGTTGCAGACTAAGTATTCTACCCAAATTTCTCAATTGATAACATTTAGAATTGAGTTTTTTATATACATTCCAACAATGAGTCTTAAAAGATAAATGAGAGTCGAAAGGAAACTATGAGGGAAAAACCAGGAAAAAAACCTCATAATACTATCCCTACATGGTAAGTATTTGTTCGTGCATTTAGTTTACCTTCACTAAACACCAAAATTCTGATTTTATATGTTTCTTTATTTAAAAACATAAATGATGTATCCTCTATATGTTACTGACTTACTAATACTGGTATTTTCTTATTAATAACTTCCTCTTTCAGTATTGGTAACCAGATCCTACTACATTCTGCCGAGGAATTTGCGATTTACCATGATAAAAAAAGAAAAATCAAAGAAGCGGCTCTAAATATGCTTAATGAGGCCAATTGTGTCACAAATTCCTTGGCAGAATGTAGTAGGATCTGGTTACCAATACTGAAAGAGGAAGTTATTAATAAAAAAATAACAGTATTAGTAAGTCAGTAACATATAGAGGATACATCATTTATGTTTTTTAAATAACGAAACATATAAAATCAGAATTTTGGTGTTTATTGAAGGTAAACTAAATGCACGAACAAATACTTACCATGTCCGGATAGTATTATGACGTTTTTTTTCCTGGTTTTTCCCTCATAATTTACTATGGAATCACTAACAGGAGAATTTTATTGTCATCATGTCATGTTTTTTCTGACGGATATTCTCAAGTTAAAGTTGATTTCATGTAATCGAATGAACTATCTTATAATTAAAGTCACTAACAGACTATTACACACTAGTACACACTAGACTAGTACACACTAACACTATGGATTAAACCTCAAAATTAAGAAAACTAAATATATGATAGTTAGCAAACAAAATTATATACAGGATGACGGTATAAAAGTCGGAGATGCCACACTGGACAGAGTAGAGAAACTCGTGTATCTCGGCAGTAATATCAATGAGAGCTGGGATCCAACCGCAGAAATTAAAAGCCGAATAGAACAAGCCCGAGCTGCCTTTGTAAAAATGAGAAACGTACTTTGCAGTCACGATCTTAGCATTGACCTTAGAGTTCGTATGACATCTTGCTACATCTTTCATGTCCTGCTGTATGAAGTGGAAGCGTGGACTCTAACTGAGGCTATGCTTAAACGCTTGACAGCCTTTGAGATGTGGGTATACAGACGACTACTGAAAATAAGCTGAGTCGACAGAGTTAGAAATGAGGAGGTGCTTAGATGGCTGAGCTAAACAACACAACTGGTCAATATAATAAAGAAACGCAAGCTGGAATACTTCGGTCACATTATGAGACAACCTGAAAAATATGATCTTTTACATCTGATCATTCAGCGAAAGATTCAAGGTAATCGTGGTCCTGGTAGACGAAGAACATCATGGCTAAAAAATCTAAGGCAATGGTATGGAAAATCAACTACATCGTTATTTAGAGCTGCTGTCAATAAAGTCACGATAGCGAATATGGTAGCCAACATGATATCCAACGATCGATAACGGTCATGGAACTAACATTCGAAACTTACCGTTACATAAAAGTTTGACAAAAAAAAAACAAACACATAAAAGTTACACCTACCTTCTTTAGTAATCTTCGGTTTTTCTGAAACAATGGAACTTTGAAGAGTCTTGCTACAGGGCACCAGCAGTTTTTTTTGAAAACCTTTTTCTGTTTCAACTCCGTTTTTCTTCATTTGATCTAGTACCTCTTTCATGCGTTTTTCAAATGCGTTTAACGGAACGTTCATTTTTATTTTCGTCGCTAATTTACGACGTAGAAAGACAAACTTACTTTGTACACTAGGTACACTCCGTTTGCTTTTAAATTTGCCGGTAAGACGCTTTGTAATCATCGCCCAATTTAAATTCCCATTTAAAGATTTGAAATTTTCTAGGACCAAGTCAAGTAATATGTTTGTTTCTTCCATACTCCAAGGATTTCTATAAAATGTATCATGTTTAATAAACTTGTATGGTAATTAAGCAAATTTTAGATGTAAAGAAAATTAAAAATACAGTAATTCTTCTAAGAATATGGCATATAATCCCAATTTGGATACTTATATTGTAGCATGCAGAAAATTCCTTAAACTATCTAATATTCAAGAATAGAAAATTTATCGAGTATACCCCTGGGCCAAGTATAAATATTTTGCCGATTCTCTGTTTATTTGTGATGTAAAGAAAAAATCACAAATTCCAGTTATAACTACGACGAAATATGATTAGATTTATTTGTATGCGTTAGTTTCGAGATTTTCAAAACTGGGAATGATTCAAGGTCATTTTACGATATAATTTGAAGCGGTTTGACAAGAATCTTGGGTTGTTAATGGGTGTGGACGGGTTAGCGGGGTAAGGAAACGATGGAAACCGGCCGGTACGTGGAAGGTCGAAGTAAACTAGGTTTCAAAAGTTGGCGATTGTAAACAGACGTGTTTAGTTTAGTCGGAAAAAACCGGAAAATTTGTTGAAAAAAGTGATTTTTACTCAAAGTAATGTGTCTGATTAGATAAGAGTAATCACTGAATTTTGTCGTTTGAAGAACAAGCGAAAGCTGCGTATCATGAGTAATTTAACGCGGTTGGTCAAATTATAAAAAATATTTAAAAATAATAACATATTCTCATTAAAGATTCAACAGATATCGTAATCGCGGATATGTGAAACCGCGGTCGATGAGTCCACTGATAACGAGGGATTACGGTAAACACTGCACCAGAAATAACTATAGTCTGGCAATAAATGAAATTATTCATCCGAAATCAAGCGCCGTAAGAGGAGAAATGTAGCCGAAATCACGTGCTCATCATGAATTCTAGAAAATTTTGAATTCGATCATTAACAGATGTAAAATGTTCAAATAAAAATATTCTTTTCATTTCAGAAGGATAGTCAATTATTTAATCTGTCCATAGAAAGCGTACTAGCAACTGCAAGTGTTTAAAACGTTTAACTTGCATGATGTGGAACAGAAATAATAAGACAGCCCAACAAAATGAAACAATTTGGTGCTTGAGAAATGACGAAATGAAAGGCACCTGTAAATTACCAACCAGACGGACTTACATTAAATACGATAGATCATTCTATTGTAAACTCAAGACACCAATCAAATATAATAAAAGTCTGCACTAAAAAAGGAGCAAATGTGGTTTCTGATCACTACTGGGTAAAATATGTTCTAAATTGAACGATACAATGTAGAAGGACTCAAAAATACAAACAAAAATGGAGAATATAAACAAAATATAAAGAACAAATAGAATACAGACTAAAACATAAATGAAGAGTGAGAAGGATGCAGAAACACCTTAAGAGAAGTTGAAGAATTACTAGGGATAGAAGAACAAGAACAAATGACTGTTTTGACACCTCGGACTCGTGTTCTTTAGCTGTTGTAAAAGGTATTGAGACGAATGGGTAAAGATATGGAATTATTAACAACTATTAGATGGAAGAACTAAGACGAAGTATTTGGAAGTATATACAAGCAGCACAACCCGAAGATATAACGATCGGAACATATAGTTTCGAAGGAGTAAGAGAGTTTATATACTTAGGCTCACAAATTAATCAGAATAATGCAGTAAGTGCAGAAATTAACAGATGGATATATCTGACAAATAAAGCCTATTATGGATTGAAAAAAATATTTAACAACAAGCCTAGTTACAAAAAGAACGAAACTAGTGATATACAGAACTCTTATCATGTCCATCCTCACCTACGTGTCGAAAACATGGACGATGACAAAGAGCGATGAAGAACGTTTAAGATGCTTTGGCCTGTATGACAAACCCGATATTATTAGGTCCATCAAAATAAACCAGCTGCGGTGGTTAGGTCACACATAGAGAATGAATGAGATGAAGCCGCTCAAACATATTTATAACCAAAGAATAAATGGAGTGAGGCAGACCCATATCAAGATTTAAGGATCAGGAGCCTGATTCTATTTCATTTTGATTTCGATATTTAAAAGCGACTACGCAATGACAGTCGCAATCGCTAGCGATTTTCATTCATTTCAATTTTAGTTAAAACTGGGGATATTTACTTTATCATTTTGACACTGCTAAGAATTTGGGTTCGCCTTCTTGTTTATTGGCTGCACGCTGACAACGCTTGTTGAATGATTGATTTTTTTTTCTTGTTTGAGTGAGTGGAATTGAATGAAAATGGATGGAGAAGCTGTCGGTGATAGTGGCACTAAATTGTCTGTGGAACAAAAAGAAATCATGGTGGCTTCTTTGGAGGACCATCCTGATTTTGCTAAGGGCTATTTATGACATAAGAGATAATCGGTGACATAACCATATAAATCTTTCCATTTGTTCGAATTATTATCTCATCAGTTCAAAAATACGATGATTACCGATCATTTTCTGACATTCCAGTCGATCCCTGGTCGAACCGAGTTCGTAATCACTTTTTGGCTTCGACACGTATTCGTATCGAGTTTGCCTTCGTTTCGTTTTGTGATTTCGTATCAGAATTTCATAATCCCCAGACTGAACCCTTATCTATGACTGAATCTAACCCTAACCTCACTTCTTCCAGTCCAGCCAGTCATGTCAGATTAATTTCGACTCGAAATGAAATTTCAACCACTTTCTTGAAGTTGAAAATAATGTCGATAAATCGAGAATTAGTGACGTCCTTTGGTTAGTTCAACTGAAATCCGCAAGGCTCGCAAAGTCGCATTTCGACGTCGCCATATTAATTTCGACATGTTTTAAGTCAAAATCTCAATTAGCATCAGGGCCCAGGTGGAGGAAGACTTGAGAATGTTGGGAGTACGAAACTGGAAAACCAAGGCGAAGAATAGGAGGGAATGGAGACATATCAGACATAATCGAGATAGCCCGCACGACATTTTTAAGAATGCGGTCATTCTTCTGTAATGATAACTTGCAACTTCAACTTCGAAAGCGCATGGTTAAATGCTACATTTGGTCAGTCCTCTTATACGGTGTCGAAGCATGGACATTAAAAATATCCACCATTAATCGTCTGGAGGCCTTTGAAATGTGGCTGCACAGACGTATACTAAAAATTCCATCGACGGCTATGCTGACAAATGTGACAGTCCTTGAGAGAGCAAATGCTGCTCGCGAGCTGCTTGATAACATCAAATGTAGAAAGATGGCCTATTTTGGACACGTAGTAAGGGGAGACCGATATAATATTCTTCAACTTATTATGATGGGTAAAATCGAAGGACGCAGAGGAATTGGTAGAAAGCAGGCCTCATGGTTGAAGAATATCAGGGAGTGGACAGGAATAAAGAAAGCTGAGCAACTATTTAGAATAGCTCGAGACAGAGACAGTTTCGCCATGTTAATCGCCAACGTCAAGGGGACTTGATAGGGCACGTTAAGAAGAAGGAGACATATCCTTGAGCAGGATAAGATCCACCATGGGTTGTGGAGCCAATGATGAATGATGATTAGAAGGAAGAAAGCGTCATATCTGAGCCATCTGTTCTGTAACGATAAGTACAGTCTGCTACAGCAGTTAAAGTGGCAGTAAAGATTGAAGGTAGAAGTGGTTTGGGCAGAAAGAAAAAACCCTCGCTCAGAAATTTAAGAGAATGGTTCCAAATACCAGAAGCTGCAATAATAATAATAATAATAATAATCTCAACCTTCAGTAGAGATAGCACATAAAAAAGGAGAAAGAATCATAAAACTTACTTAACACCTATTCTACCTAAAGGATTAGGTACAGCATTGGAGGCACTTACACTCGAAGTGCTTTTTTTTCTAATAGGCTTTTCTACAGGAACGTTTTTAGGAGTAATCCTGTTTGATGGACTATATCCATCGTCTCTTTCATAAGGTTGCTTCTTTTTCGGTGTTATTTTTTTGTTGATAACTTGAGGTCTATCACTTTGAACTATCTTCAGAAATCGACGAACCTATTAATATTACAGATAGTTAGATATAAAAGTCATTTCACTCTATAAATAGGAGTGTTAGATTTATAAAATTCAATTATTTGAATGAGTAATGGCTTTTCTAATTTAGTAAAAAGTAGGCAGATAGGAGAATGTATATTTGTACGATAATATATGATAACAATAAAGGATTTCTCATAAACGATTAATGTTAATAGTCCGAAGATAGCAATTTTAGAATATAAGGTTTAAGTCTTTTGTTTACAAAGAAATTGGGCAAAGAATTGGAAAGTTTTGTGGTCAGGGATAAGTATACAATAATCGAAGTAGTATTAGCTGTATTGTCTCTAAAAACTTGGAAACAAAGAAAAGATCTTATTTATGTAAAATTTGGAAATACCAAGGTTATATTATTTCATAATAGCATTGAGCTTGTGTTTGACAAGTCATAGAATTTGATTGTAATAAGTAAACAACAGAATATAAAACCGTCTATATATGTAAATAATATCAAACTTGAGCAAGTTGATAAAATCGTCTACCTTGGACAGCAATTAAATTGTAATGCAGAAAATCACGGCGAAATTAGATCCAGAATAGAGCAGGCTAGAGCTGCTTTTAGAAGGATGTCCAAGGTGTTATGTAACAGAGACCTAAAATTGGCATTAAGGATCCGCCTACTTCGCTGCTACGTGTTCTCGGTCTTACTTTATGCTGTCGAGTCCTGGATTGTGAATAAAATCGATCTAAATCGCCTTGAGGCTTTCGAAATGTGGTGCTATAGAAGAATTTTAAAAGTTTCCTGGGTGGAGAAGATTCGTAACTCCACAATACTAGAACGTCTCAGCAAGACTACTGAGATCATAAAAAGCATCAAGCAGAGAAAGCTGGAATATTTCGGACATGTAATGAGAGGTCCCAAATATAGATTGCTACAAAACATCATGCAAGGAAAAATAGCAGGCAAACGCAGTCCAGGACGAAGAAGAACCTCATGGTTGAAGAACTTGCGAGACTGGTATGGTGTAGATACAAGCATGCTATTTAGGGTGGCAGTGAATAAAATTAAAATAGCTAGGATGGTAACCAACGTTCTGAAAGGACATGGTACATGAAGAAGAAGATGAGAGGAATGGCGTGGTATGTAGGATATGTATGTCTGATTGGTGAAAAGGAGGAGTGATTGAAGAGAAGAAAGTCATAGTTTGTTCGGGAAAAGTAAGATTATTGTGATTTGAAGATCGGAAGAAGCAAGATGTTTTTGTTCCATTTCCTGCAGTGAAAGTTAGCAGAGATCTTGTCAAATAATAATTGTGAAAGGTGTTCTGTGTCTGTGGAAGCAGCCGCAAGGATTGGTAGCAGTGTATAGTATATTTGGTATTAGTGGATTCAGTGAAAATCCTTTCGACTACAAAGAAATTGGGTTCCTGTGAGATAGGAGTTTGGTTAAGGGCCTTTGTTGCGTCGATAGTGTGTGCGAGAGAGGTTGACAAGCAGAGGAGATAGCAGGCGTGTGTAGAGCAATTAGAGAGTACGAGCAAACGGTGACCAGATCACAGTCGTCAGAAGAAAAGGTGCCCGTAGAGAATTTTGGAAATAAAATGTAAGTTTGCGATATAATCAACAAAGACTTTCAACTACGATCATAACTAGATCATAGTTAATTTGGTTTTTTAAATATTTTATTCAGTGATCTCATTTAACAATAAATAAAAAAATTGAATGCAGATATAAAAAATTAAAAGAAGTAATATTTCTTGAAAGAAAATTCTTTGCCTTGATTTAATTTAAAAAAAGAAAACACAGAGAAGAGATCTTTTATTTAAATACAAGTTCAAACAATTATTGATAATTTGTATAGAAATTCTAATGAATTTGTAATTTTAATTATACAGATTCGCTCATATGATATATGATTTTTTTTATTCTTTTTTATTAAATTATTCAATAGTTTAGTATTACAAAATTATTTGGTTTAATTTATTTTCCTATTGTCCACTCTTTACTCAAAGACAACTGCTTAAAGACTACTTTGAAGCGATTTATTATCATCATCATCATCAGTAGCTCGACAACCCTTTCTCGGTCCTGGCTTGCTCTAGGATTTTCCGCCATTCGGTTCTGTTCCTTGCTTTGATTTTCCAGTTGGTAATCTTAAGTGTTTTTAGATCTTCTTCCATGTATTCAAGTTTGGGTCTTCCCTTTCTCCCTACTGCTGTTTGCCTCATTATATTTTTTGGTGTTTCAGTCTACAATATCCGTTCAACATGGCCCATCCAGAGCAGACAGACAGACAGACATTGAACATATCAATGAGTTGAGTTGGAATATTAAATTCTTTCAGTGCATGGATGCTCTCATAGGCACTCTCAAAATCAATGAAAAGATAATGTGTGTCTATATTAAATTCACTAGTCTTTTCCAAGATTTGCCTCAAGATCTGATCTATTGTGGACTTCTGCCTCAGAAATCACTTCATTTACATTGAAGATGATCTTCCCTTTTGTGTTGTGGGGTAATTACTCCGGTATTCCAGTATTGTGGCAGTTGTTTATTATTCCATATGTTCACTATTAGTTCGTGTATCGCATTCAATAGAGAGTCTCCAGCTTCCTTTAAATCTGGGCTAAGGTTGTCTAATCCAGGTGACTTGTTGTTTTTCAGTCTGGTAAGTACTTCTTGCATTTCAGCTACTGAAGGGGGGCTATTTCTCTGGTATCCGTTTGATCCAGTATAATTCCATCATATAGTGGATTCTCGTTTTATTCAAACTTTTCTTTGAAGAATTCTGCCCATCTTTGTAGTATTTCACTCTGTTGCGTTACATATCTCCTTCTTTGTCTCTGCACATCATTGTTCTTGTTTTAAACTCTTTTTTTTGTAGAATTTTTCGGTAGAATTTTCTGGTTTCTGATGGTTTATTTAGGTCTTCCATTTCTTGGAGTTCTTTTTTTATGTGTTCTCTTTTCTTCTCTTCCCTCCTTAGCATTCTATATTCCTCCTCTGCCTTTCGTATTCTATGTCGTTGTAGTCGTTAATATGCATTATTTTCCCTCTCTGTTATGTTACGATACTTTTCATTGAACCATTGTCCTTAAGTTGATTTGAGCTTGTTTTGTAAACCCAGGGCCTCTGGTCGCGTCTTGTATGTTTTTACACGCTTCCCATTTTCTGTATGGCAAGCGGAATAAATAATATTCTTTATTCCGCTTGATTTAACAATTTTGTCGAACCATAGCCCCCATCAGCTTCTGTAAACCAAGAATGACCCGAGAGCAATGGAAATTGGAAAAAAGGCCAAATTGTCTCAATAAAAGAGATCTCAGAATCCCCGAAGAAGACATCAAAGAGGGTGTCGAAAGCTCGGCACAATGATAATTGACGCAGAAAAATGGCTAATGATGATGATGACTATATTTTTGACTAAGCAGTTTTTATTATACGATTTAGGAGTGTAGCTTTTAAGCCCTAGATCTACAAAGCCTGTTGAGCTAAATAAATAAATACATAATATTTTTCCTTATACATGTAAAATACTTACTTCACATACCAATGGATTCCTAACACTCCCACACTTCGCTAGCTGTTTCACATCATACCACGCCTGTACTGCCTCTTTTCTGCTCATTTCTTGATAGCCTTCAGAATACATTTTATCAAAAATAGTACACCAAATTCTCAATGGCAATCCCTGTATTCGATTTGCTCTTTTCAGTTCGTTATACTGTTCTCGTATTGCCAAGAATATCTGCCTCCGTTTAGCAAATTTTAAATTATCTGACTCATCGTTCTTTTTACTATATTTATCTGTCATATTTTTAAATCCGCCGGAATCTTCTGAAGATCTTGTGATTACAGAATTGTTTGAAGTTTTGGATATATGTTGAGATGTCACTTTAGGCACGCCTTGAAGTGTCACTTCATGGTTGGAAAATAATGATATGTTGGTACTTGCCGTTGTCGGTACCGCTGTAGATCCTGAATATCTGAAATCATTCGGTATATTTATATTACAAGTAGTATACAAGTTATATTTTATTATAGGTTTTATATTACAAGTAGTATACAATTCAACGATGTTAACACTGCGATATAAGAGGTAACCACCACCGATACTCTACTGATGGAAGACCTAAACGCCAAAATAGACCACAAGCAGGATGATTCGGAGTTTGTAGTTGGATCTCACTAATATGGAGATAAACTCAAGAATATCTTCTGCAACACAGCAACTAACAACCTGTTTATTTATCCAGCCAAGCAAAAAGATCCATGGAAAGACAAATGCTGAACATTAAAATATCAAGTCGAAAGAAAATGCAAAAAAGTATTTTTGAAGTGTGTATATTTTAGGCAATTCCTAGCTGAGCGCTTTCGGCTTTACAAAGCCATCATCAGAGCTATGCTACAATAAAATGTTCTAATAAGTACTAATTGGTAAAGATTGTAATTTTTAACTTACGTCAATTTTTAAATACCACTACAAAGGAGAGATCTCATTTCCTTAAGTTTCACAATTATGATTTTGTAGGAGTTGGAATTTTTTAAAAACATAAAAAACATATAAAAGGTCGACACTGGACGTCACAAACACGTTAAAAAATTGAAAAAATTTTTTTTTTTTTTTTTTTTTTTTTTTTTTTTTTTTGTCATGGTACGGGTTTAAGACCCGACCATCTATTGCTGTGAGGATGTAGACTGAATAGAACTAGTGAAATCAAATGTCGGTCTTTTAAACGATTTTTCAAAAGTGACAGGTGACAAATGTCATATATAGGAAATAGAGATTGTTTTTTAAATTCTTACAAAATTATTTAGTAGTTTGGAATTACTACTAGTCATCAAAGACTTTCTAAAAATTAAGTTTTTAAAATTAAATTTTATGTGTTCATCACATCATACAGAATGACATTAATTTGTAAATTCACTCAAGTCATTGCTCAAGGTCAATGTATGTTCAATCTGACAGCTATCCTTAAGGAACAAGGGCTCAAATTGTTCAACAACACTATAAAGAAGAAACCTGGTATTAATGTTATGTTATCTGATACTTAAGTGTATTAAGAATTGTATGTCTTGATGGAAAATTGTAAGAACTTTGCATAAAAAATTTTTTTTTTTTTAAGAATGTATTTTCATGTTTCAATTAAGAACAACTGTCAAATGAATTACAAAATGTTGTAAATTTTAATAAAGTTTAAAATTTGTTTAAAAAATAAAAGTATGAAAAATATATAACAAGATTGCATGAGGTCACCCTTCTTCCTCTAAAGTCTCCCATAATAATTTAAAAAGAGGTTTATAGTTGCAATTGAGGTTGATTTGTGTGTTTAAGCAACAATCAGGGTTTATTTTCATTTCTTTGGATATCTCTAGATCTTCCAAGAGATTCATGAGTCTAAAGTTTTTATTAGGAATGTTGTGTAAAATTTTACTGTTTTCAGAAGGAGAAAAAGAATGATTATTAAATTTAATGTGATATCCAAAGTTTGATTTTTCTGGGTTATTGAGGTGTTCTTTGATTCTTTGATTCAGAGTTCTCATTGTTCTACCTACATAAGTCATATTACAATCACCACAGGAAAGCTTGTAAATACCACTTCTGTTTAGTTTGTCAACTTTGTCTTTGGTCTTGCTGAAGATGGACTTGATGTTATATTTGGTTTTAAAGGAGATGTTTAAGTCATTAATTTTATTAACAAGTACTCTTGAAATTTTTTCTGAAATTGGTCCTAAGTAAGTTAAGGATCTATATATGGAAGTAGTGTTGGATTTGTTATCAACATTAAAAGCTTGGTTTAGTCTCTTTTTGAGTATAGATTTTCTAATGACTTTATCAACAGTAGTAGAAGGAAAACCATTGTTGTTTGCTATCTGTTTAATGATGGAGATTTCTTTATTGTAATTTTCTTGAGACATAGGGATATTAAGAAGTCTGTGGACATAACATTGAATAGCTGCCATCTTGTGTTGAAAAGGATGATTTGATGATGTTGGTATCATATGGTCAGTTTGAGTAGGTTTTCTGAATATTGAAAATTCTAGTGTAGGCAAAGAAGAAAAGGAGGAAGTATTCTTTTTGATAGTTAGGTCTAAAAAGTTGATAATGTTGTTGCTTTCTACTTCTAAGGTAAAATTAATTGCAGGATGTAGATTATTAATTATTGACAAAATATTGTGAGGTTCTGAAGGTGGGCCTTCTATAAAGGCTAAAATGTCATCCACATATCTGTACCATAGGATTATTTGTGGTTGAGAATGAACAAAGTTAGTTTCGAGAGAGTCTAGAAAAAGATCTGCAAGTAGAGGAGATAAAGGATTTCCCATTGCTAAACCCTCTGGTTGTCTATAAATTTTATCGTTAAAGATAAAGAAATCTTGGGAAAGGCAAAATTGGAGTAGAGAAGTAATTTGTGAACATTTATTTTGGTCAATGTTTCTTCTTTGTAGAAGGTTATTGATGATTGGAATGGTGTCTAATCTGGGAACATTGGTGAACAGATTTGTTACATCGAAGGAGACCATAGTGAAGTTATTCGGAAGAGTATGTGAAGAAATTTTGGAGATTAAATCTAAAGTGTTGGCAATAGTATATTTGGGAGTGTAATTAAGTAGATCTAGTAGAAGAGTGTTGATAAATTTTGCTAGTGAAGCTAGTGGGTATTGACAAAACTAACTACAGGTCTTATTGGAACATTAGCTTTATGAATTTTAGGGAGACCATAAAGTCTTGGTATTAAAGGATTGCTAGAAATGAAAGTTTTGGGGTTAGTTCCAAGTTCTTGAAACAAATTAGTTGCATTAGAAATGTTTGATTTTAGATCATTTATAAGTTTATTCATTGGGTTCTTGTTAAGTGGAATAAATGAGTTGTTGGATAGAAAAGATTCTACTTTGTTAACATAATCACTATTGTACATGATTAGAAGACAGTTTCCTTTGTCAGCTTTTGTTATTATAAGTTTATGAGTTTTAATTTTATTAGAAATAGATTTAACCAGTTTAAATTGTGTATGAAAAGTTGACATAACCTTATTGTTAGAATAGTATTTTTGATAAGACTGATTTAGTGCAAAAAGACAAGACATTTTTAAGTTGGTTTTTACAGTGTTTGTGATGTTTAAACTATCTATGATGCTATCAATCTCTACACAGAGTAACTCAATATTATTTAAATCAGGTTTAGTTTTTATACAAAATTTGAGACCCTTACTCAAAAAATCAAGTTCTGGTTTTGTAAAATTGCAATTTGACAAGTTTTTAACCCTTTCATGAAATATATGATAAGAAGAGGATTGTTGACTCACCTGATTCCTGTTGTTATTATTATTTTTATTAAAAGGATGTTGTTGATTATTACCTGATCGATCAGATTTTAATTTGTTTAGTTTTTTATTAAGTCTTTCATATTTAAGGTGTTTACTCAATGCTAAATCATCTTGATGTTCTTGAAGAGCTTGTTGAAAGTCTGAAAAAGAAGAGGTTACCCCTGCAATCCTATTATATAATATTTTAAGTTCGATGTTGATATTGTTGATCTTGGCATAATGTAGACAAATTTCTTTTCTAAGGAGTTTTCTTTCCAAATCTGTTTTAAACTTTGTTGGTATGTTCTTGGATGTTTTACATACAGCAAACTTAGGTGTTAAATGTTGCTAAGTTAGGTGTTAAACCTAGTTAGTTGCTTAGGTGTTAAACCTAAGTTTGCTGTATGTAAAAACATCCAAGAACATACCAACAAAGTTTAAAACAGATTTGGAAAGAAAACTCCTTAGAAAAGAAATTTGTCTACATTATGCCAAGATCAACAATATCAACATCGAACTTAAAATATTATATAATAGGATTGCAGGGGTAACCTCTTCTTTTTCAGACTTTCAACAAGCTCTTCAAGAACATCAAGATGATTTAGCATTGAGTAAACACCTTAAATATGAAAGACTTAATAAAAAACTAAACAAATTAAAATCTGATCGATCAGGTAATAATCAACAACATCCTTTTAATAAAAATAATAATAACAACAGGAATCAGGTGAGTCAACAATCCTCTTCTTATCATATATTTCATGAAAGGGTTAAAAACTTGTCAAATTGCAATTTTACAAAACCAGAACTTGATTTTTTGAGTAAGGGTCTCAAATTTTGTATAAAAACTAAACCTGATTTAAATAATATTGAGTTACTCTGTGTAGAGATTGATAGCATCATAGATAGTTTAAACATCACAAACACTGTAAAAACCAACTTAAAAATGTCTTGTCTTTTTGCACTAAATCAGTCTTATCAAAAATACTATTCTAACAATAAGGTTATGTCAACTTTTCATACACAATTTAAACTGGTTAAATCTATTTCTAATAAAATTAAAACTCATAAACTTATAATAACAAAAGCTGACAAAGGAAACTGTCTTCTAATCATGTACAATAGTGATTATGTTAACAAAGTAGAATCTTTTCTATCCAACAACTCATTTATTCCACTTAACAAGAACCCAATGAATAAACTTATAAATGATCTAAAATCAAACATTTCTAATGCAACTAATTTGTTTCAAGAACTTGGAACTAACCCCAAAACTTTCATTTCTAGCAATCCTTTAATACCAAGACTTTATGGTCTCCCTAAAATTCATAAAGCTAATGTTCCAATAAGACCTGTAGTTAGTTTTGTCAATACCCCACTAGCTTCACTAGCAAAATTTATCAACACTCTTCTACTAGATCTACTTAATTACACTCCCAAATATACTATTGCCAACACTTTAGATTTAATCTCCAAAATTTCTTCACATACTCTTCCGAATAACTTCACTATGGTCTCCTTCGATGTAACAAATCTGTTCACCAATGTTCCCAGATTAGACACCATTCCAATCATCAATAACCTTCTACAAAGAAGAAACATTGACCAAAATAAATGTTCACAAATTACTTCTCTACTCCAATTTTGCCTTTCCCAAGATTTCTTTATCTTTAACGATAAAATTTATAGACAACCAGAGGGTTTAGCAATGGGAAATCCTTTATCTCCTCTACTTGCAGATCTTTTTCTAGACTCTCTCGAAACTAACTTTGTTCATTCTCAACCACAAATAATCCTATGGTACAGATATGTGGATGACATTTTAGCCTTTATAGAAGGCCCACCTTCAGAACCTCACAATATTTTGTCAATAATTAATAATCTACATCCTGCAATTAATTTTACCTTAGAAATAGAAAGCAACAACATTATCAACTTTTTAGACCTAACTATCAAAAAGAATACTTCCTCCTTTTCTTCTTTGCCTACACTAGAATTTTCAATATTCAGAAAACCTACTCAAACTGACCATATGATACCAACATCATCAAATCATCCTTTTCAACACAAGATGGCAGCTATTCAATGTTATGTCCACAGACTTCTTAATATCCCTATGTCTCAAGAAAATTACAATAAAGAAATCTCCATCATTAAACAGATAGCAAACAACAATGGTTTTCCTTCTACTACTGTTGATAAAGTCATTAGAAAATCTATACTCAAAAAGAGACTAAACCAAGCTTTTAATGTTGATAACAAATCCAACACTACTTCCATATATAGATCCTTAACTTACTTAGGACCAATTTCAGAAAAAATTTCAAGAGTACTTGTTAATAAAATTAATGACTTAAACATCTCCTTTAAAACCAAATATAACATCAAGTCCATCTTCAGCAAGACCAAAGACAAAGTTGACAAACTAAACAGAAGTGGTATTTACAAGCTTTCCTGTGGTGATTGTAATATGACTTATGTAGGTAGAACAATGAGAACTCTGAATCAAAGAATCAAAGAACACCTCAATAACCCAGAAAAATCAAACTTTGGATATCACATTAAATTTAATAATCATTCTTTTTCTCCTTCTGAAAACAGTAAAATTTTACACAACATTCCTAATAAAAACTTTAGACTCATGAATCTCTTGGAAGATCTAGAGATATCCAAAGAAATGAAAATAAACCCTGATTGTTGCTTAAACACACAAATCAACCTCAATTGCAACTATAAACCTCTTTTTAAATTATTATGGGAGACTTTAGAGGAAGAAGGGTGACCTCATGCAATCTTGTTATATATTTTTCATACTTTTATTTTTAAACAAATTTTAAACTTTATTAAAATTTACAACATTTTGTAATTCATTTGACAGTTGTTCTTAATTGAAACATGAAAATACATTCTTAAAAAAAAAAAAAAATTTTTTATGCAAAGTTCTTACAATTTTCCATCAAGACATACAATTCTTAATACACTTAAGTATCAGATAACATAACATTAATACCAGGTTTCTTCTTTATAGTGTTGTTGAACAATTTGAGCCCTTGTTCCTTAAGGATAGCTGTCAGATTGAACATACATTGACCTTGAGCAATGACTTGAGTGAATTTACAAATTAATGTCATTCTGTATGATGTGATGAACACATAAAATTTAATTTTAAAAACTTAATTTTTAGAAAGTCTTTGATGACTAGTAGTAATTCCAAACTACTAAATAATTTTGTAAGAATTTAAAAAACAATCTCTATTTCCTATATATGACATTTGTCACCTGTCACTTTTGAAAAATCGTTTAAAAGACCGACATTTGATTTCACTAGTTCTATTCAGTCTACATCCTCACAGCAATAGATGGTCGGGTCTTAAACCCGTACCATGACAAAAAAAAAAAAAAAAAAAAAATTTTTTCAATTTTTTAACGTGTTTGTGACGTCCAGTGTCGACCTTTTATATGTTTTTTTATGTTTTTAAAAAATTCCAACTCCTACAAAATCATAATTGTGAAACTTAAGGAAATGAGATCTCTCCTTTGTAGTGGTATTTAAAAATTGACGTAAGTTAAAAATTACAATCTTTACCAATTAGTACTTATTAGAACATTTTATTGTAGCATAGCTCTGATGATGGCTTTGTAAAGCCGAAAGCGCTCAGCTAGGAATTGCCTAAAATATACACACTTCAAAAATACTTTTTTGCATTTTCTTTCGACTTGTCATAAGTGTGTACAAAAAATATCAGTCTTTTGATTATTAAAATATCAGACAGAAAAAGAAACGAATGGATCCGTAATAAAACAAAAGTGAAAGATGTCTCAATCCAAGTAGCAAAGCTTAAATGGAAGTTCGCCGGACACACCCTAAGGCAGAAAGATGAAAGATGGACTACGACAATTATACATTGGAGACCATGGAATCACAAACGAAAAAGGGGAAGGCCACAACTGCGATGGTCAGATGACCTGAAGAATCACGCCGGGTCAAAATGGATGCAAATTGTCCAAGATAGAGGCATGGAAGAAGGAGGAGGAGGCCTATATCCAAGGATGGATGTTTAGGGCTGTATAGATAGATAACGTATTTGAGTATTACATTCAAAAATCTTTTGAGAATATTCAAAGGGATATAGACAGTTGTGATGAATACAAAAAAACAAATGAATACTTTAAAATTAATTTTTGATCAATTAAAAAATATGTCACAACATAGAAAACAGTACAGCATTGAATCTATGTTATTTGCACTTTTTATATAAATTGTCTACATACAGTCATTTATATCCAATTTTCTAACAGTTTCTAAAGTTAGATTAAAAAGTATTGTTGATAAGCGTCACCTTGCCTAACTCCATTTTCAATATAAATGCCTCTGTCATATATCCATCTATTATCACCACAGCTTTACTCTCCAAAGTCATTCGTATAAGTTTAACTAACTTATTGGGTATCCCTAACATAGACAGTTGTTTTAACATCTTTTGTCCATCTACTCCATCAAACACCTATTTAAAATCGATTAAGTTATAAAATGGTATGTTACATTCAACACATTTTTCATGTATACCTTACCTACCTCTTAACATTTGGTCTATATGACAAAAAACCTATTCATATTTAAAATTGCTACTTGCGTATATCTAAGTATGAAAATTCAACAAAAGTTTAAGTAAATAGTAAAATATTTAATTTTCTATTAGATTAATTTAGAACCATATTTATATTGTGTCTGATTTGTTAGGATAAATTTTTTGATCATAATATGTAGTTACACTAAGTTTTTACTTAACAAATTTTATATCTTTTGTATTTTTAATAATTTTTTGAAATGTTGTGTTAATGTTGTATTATTTATATGCTTAAGTACTTAATATTTAAAATTTCTAGAGATTCTTGACTGCATTTGATTGTAAGATTAACTGTTTGTATGAAACTGTATTTTTTGCAACTTTGCAATTTTTAGAAAGCACAGATTAAAGCAGAAATCTGAATTGTGTTTCGAAACTATTTTACGGTTTTATTATCAGATGTCGCTATTGCGTCCGTATCAAAGCCATTTTAGTGTTGCTTCTTAAAAAAACAGAAAATATTGTTCTTTCACGTTGAGAAAACCTTTGAATAACTGTTCTGATGAGACCTATTAGGTCGAAATACGTATCAACAGATACATAGGAATTGTTTGCGTGAAATCAAATATTTGCTGTCTTCTTCATTTTATTCGGATCTACTCTGTACGAGTACAAGAAACCAATTCGCTAAGGATTTCTGCTTAGTTGAAAAGATGTGTCGTGGAATGCAAATTTTAGATTCCCCATGTCTCTTTTAACACCTTCATCAACGTCTGTTCTGCTTTGCAATTTTTAGAAAGCACAGATTAAAGCAGAAATCTGAATTGTGTTTCGAAACTATTTTACGGTTTTAAATACAGAGATATTTGCACTATTTTAGAAACATTGCTAGAACAGGTACGATGGAAAAATTGATAGTCGATGGTAGAGTTCAAGGAAAGAGACCTATATATAGGAAGATCAAACAAAAATATTGATTAACCAAGGGTTATATGAAGCCGAACAACTAGCCCAGGACAGGGAAGGATGGAGAGAAAGTTGTGAGTTTTATTAAAGTTTGTGAAAACCCAGACCTTGAAGGTTACACATTGGCTCCTAACTTTCAGAGGTAGTTATATTGTTAGCCAGTTGTACCCACCATTTCTGATAAGTCGTTCAATAGTTACAATATAAGTAAACCTAAACAATAAATGAAGTAATTATAAAATAAATTTAAAGTAAAGGTGAGAAATACTCACCCTTTAATGCTGTCTTTCTGGGGTGAATATTTCGTTTGGGTTTTTTGCAACATATCCCAAATCATCTCGTCCAAAGGATCGCTACCATCTTTTGCATGAGTCACTGCAGACATTTTAAGCCTAGTCCATAAATTATATAGTCTAATGCCGCTATGGTCTGGCATGTAATTTTTGTTTACTATTTGTGTTAGCGACTTCCAAAGGCCACTAGCTTTTCTTTTATCTTCTCCCAATTTATTAAATTCGGTTACGAGAGACTGAACAAAAAAAACTTTTTCTTGTGGACTAAATTTTTGAGGCCTTCCAACTGGATTTTTCAAATTTTTCAAGACAGTAGGTGAACGACTAAAAAATAAATGTCACTGTTATTGTTTCATTTTAAGAATTCAATGCATAAAACATGAAACTTTAACTTCAAATTCGTAAAAATATATTTTTTTAATAATAAAACGACTGCTTTATAATATTATTATACGTTCTTTTCGAAAATTACGCCTTCATTCATTTTAAAAGACTGCCAGCTTATTTGATAATTGGTTTCTATTTCTTTTCCTACATGTTAAAACACCGAAAAATATTCTCAAACTTTTTGCGTCGCTGATATTCATAATATAAACATTTCTGGTATGTGTATAATAATTGCATCGTTTACACGATAATAACATTATGGAAATTTCGGATGTCCAATATACTCAAAATGTATAAGATTTTAAGCCAGTTTCTTTACCTGTGACAAAGAAACAACAACCTATAAAGAAGAAAGAACATAGCGACACAAAGCAAGAAATAAGTATGGCTCTTACAATCAACGAGTTTTTAAATATCGCAAGCAAGGTGTGGCCCAGCGAATTTGATGGAAGCGCAGGTAAATTGCAGTCATTTTTAGATGCATTCGAACTCCTTGAGAAAATATCGATAGAACACGAGGAAACAGCTATAACATTAATAAAGACAAGATTAACCAATAAGGCTAGAAACGTTATAACTACACAGGATACAATCGCAAGAATAGCAGAGGCGACAATCCGAAGACGGTAATAGCTAAATTGGCGAAGAAAAGACAAGGACATAAAGATGCAGAGGTCTATGCATCTGAAGTTGAAGAATTAGCAGAACAGCTAAAAGTTGCATACATAGCGGAAGGAATGCCATTGGAATTAGAGAAAAATATACAACGGAAACTGTAATTACATCAATGAAACGTAACGTCAACACGGAAAAAGCTAAATTAATATTGGAAGCAGGTAACTTCACAACCACGCACGACGTAATGTCCAAATTTTTATCGATCGACGCGACAGAAGATAGCACACAATGAAGAATGTTAAATTACGGGAACAAATACGAATTTAATATAAGCAAAGAAGGTAAGAATGTAATATATGGATATATTTATTATATTCAATATTCGAAGGAAGAAAAGAATATAAGAATAAAAATTATAGAAATATAAATGAATATGAAAGACATCGTAATAGATTTCATAGAGACAGAGGAGAATGACAATCGCAACGAAGAAGAAAGAATAAACAATGGACACAGGTGAGATGTCACAGAAATAGAGGCACAGCGGACCATCGTACCGCATGCGAATACGAATCCAGCGCCGGAAGTAAATTTTTTATCAGGAATGTAGGCAAACTTGATATGGGTCGACCTTAAGGGCTGAAACCTACGTCAAGCAGGAGGTTGCTAAGAGGTTAAGCTAGGGTGGTACTTGAATCCTGACAGGATCGCCATATAATAATGTAGGATCGTCATATAATAATGTTGCTATATTATTGTAACGTTTATGGGTTGACTTTATCAAGAGTTCCATATAGCGGACTCCAGGGGTAGTTTACCCCTTGCAGGTGGTTAGTTACTTGAACACACTAGCGACTCATAATTACTTTATTAGTTCTCTAAGCTGCAATACTAGATAGTACTCAGTTGACGTTGACAATATTAATTTCACCGTCTCTTGATTCTTCATTCTTAACAATAATGATAATGATCCTAATCCTGTAATTTCCAGCTATTTAACTAGTTAATTGTTTAATTTATACACATTATTTAATACGCTTTCGATTACATTGCAAATTTCACTAGGTCAGCGTGCGTCCACGTTAACGATATTTTCAATGTCATAAACAATCTATTTTCGCAAATGTGTGTCACATTATTAAAAAAATGTTACTTAGATCCGATGCTAAATTAAATTAAATAAACACCGTTACACAGGCCCCAACGCCACCTAAACAACTCTTCCAGAAATTATTCATTGGCTACTTATACGACCTCAGCGCCAAATACCTAGCCATCGAACTGGCCGCCATCTTTTATCTGAAATTCCCATATCTCCTCTACTTGTGTGGGACACAGTTGTGTTGTTTGCAGTGTTTTGGTTAAATTCCGATCTCAAAAATTCTCAAAGGAAATAAATTGCTTTCGTGACAAACTAAAAAATTGTAACTAAATGAAATTATAAGTTTTATGGATTAGCTAATTGACATATTAGACTTCTTTTAAATGCAATTAATTTTAAAATTTAATTATTATTTTAAAGCTGAGAATGATAAAGATCATTTACGATATAATTTGAAGCATGTTTGACGAGATTTTTGTTTGGTTCCGTGGTATGGACCGGTTAGTGTGGGACGCGAGAGGAGAAGCCAGTTGGGACAGATCGAGAGTTGAGAAAATTCAAGTTTTTAGGTTTGATAGGGTGCCGATGGTGAGCAGACGTCGGTATGTAGTTTGAAGAAACCGGCAAATTTGTCGAAGAAAAAGTGATTTATACCCAAAGTAATGTGTCAATTCTGATAAGGGTAATCACTGTTTTTTTAATTGTAAGCTGTCTCTCATCGTGCGATATTTGCAAAACGGCGTTCCCAACAAATTTGAAAGATTCCCAAATGTTCCATTGTCTAGTTCTTGCCAGAGTGTGCAATGTGCCAGTTTCAACCTCAAACTTCAATGTCCTAAGTAGTCGTTTCAAAATACTTTTCGCAGTGTGAGATGCAGTCTTTTGCGTAGCAGTAAATCTCCAGTAAAATTCCAATGCCCAACCTCAGAAATGTAAAGTAAAAGTGCATTTTAGTGAAATCAAGGTAACTTTTTTTTGTTTTAAACTTTTATAGGAAGAATAAACATTTTTAATAAAAATGTGCTTTCATAATTTAAAAAAGAAAATAAAATAATGAAAAGTGGTTGCGTTCACCAGACTAAATCGCCTAGAAGCTGCTTGCAAGTGGCTTATAATCGATTCTTGGTGAACGATGTGCTAATCATGCGCTAATTCCAAGCGGCTGATAAGCGGTCGCCATTTTATTCAGCCTTAAATTTGTTCTGCTTAATCATCGCTGAATGGTTGAATAGCTTATTCTAATAGTTGAATTCCGCCCAACTCATTGTGCCCAAGACTGAGATGTAGTGCATTAAAGTCCTTCCCCCTTTTAAATTCAATGTTTGTTTCGTCCCTTCTAAGTGTTTTCTGTTTTAGTGTGTTTAAATTGTCCTTAATTGTTTGTATTTTAATATTTTATTTACTTGACTTTTCAATAATTTACTAATTGCCAATAGAACTTTATCAAAGTAATTTGATAACTACAAGTTGGAAAATAATTGCACACCCACACAATTTTTACATCTAAACTTATTCGTTGTCATAAAACTGTCACCTTCATAAACAATTACTCAATAAATAACACACATTTCATAAATATATCTCTCGAATAAGTATAAATAACTTTTAATAACACAATGGTATATTACATCACTTTCATTTAACAAACAATCACACACATATCTCTTCTTCATTGGATCAAATCTATCTCCTCAAGAACTTCCCGTTTACTGCCAAACAACTGCAATAATAGAATTGAGTTCTCCATTCAACAATACATAGTAGTTTCAACCATGTTCTACCATCCATCAATTAATAGAGTACCGGCATCATTTGTTTAACTTTGTATCGAGACCTGAGGATGCTTTGCATATTGTAGAATGCGAAACCGGTCGTCTGATAGTTAAATTAAATTGATTGTGAGTAAGTCTTATTTATTATTTCTTTACCTATTTGAAATGGACTCACACAAGCAACACATTCATGATTTTTTAAAAAATGGCAAATTTATTCGAAATATAAATATAATAACACTATTTATAAAATATAATATATAAATAAATATAATATAATATAATATAAAATATCGTCCCCAAACTAAAATGCTTCAAGAATATTATCCATTTTAGTTAAGTATTGTTATTTATTCTCTGGTTAGGTCAAAGAATAAATATAATATAATATTATAAAATATCGTCCTCAAACAAAAATGCTTCAAGAATATTTATTATCCTTTTTAGTTAGGTATTGTTATTTATTCTGTAGTTAGGTTAATAAAAACAAAGCAACAAGCACAACTGTCAAACGTCAGTCGTTCGCCAAACTTTTATTCTTAGCATTAAGCGCTGTACAATCAGATTGAAAGCGGATTAATCTGGTGAACGCAACCATTGTAAGTCTTAGGGTGTGGCTAGCTGTCATTTTAATTGTTCTCCGTTTCAAAAATCAGTATTGACATCTGACAGCTAGCTTTATTTTTATGACATTGTAATTTGAATGTAGTTTAAAAAGATTTTCACTCTTTTATATTTTTTAGAAAAGAGTAACTTGAGACTATGTAAGTATTTTTTTTTTGATTTTCTTCCTTTGTAGTTACCCCTTTCCAGTGCCTCTTTTTATTACCTTTGTAGTAACCCTTTTTCCGCGAATAATACCTTGCAACGGATGGATTGTGTTTTTTATGTAATGAAAATGAAGATTCGTTAAAAAGTTAACATTTTCATTCTGTTTATCTAACATAAATTCACAAAACTGCATCCTCCTAAAGTTATCTTAAGGAAACAGTTCCTGTGATGGTTGTATCTTAAAACAGCGATACCCATTCCTTTTAAGAACTCGCTGGACACTTCGAGTATTCACGTTAACTTCCCTAGCAGTTTGTATACTATTGCAGGGTTCAATAGCTTCCACAAAAGCACGAATATAAATATCCCTGTTTTGATGCTCCTCATCGACAGGTCTAACACGTGGTTAAGTACCTTCATGACACAATGTTTACACCTCCCGATGTTTGAAAACGTTTAAATGGTATTTTTAACTATTGTAACACTTGGTGGGGTCTATTTTCGAAGGCAACAATAAATAAATCAATTACTTCACGTATCTAATGACCCTGAAAGTACCATGTTACAAGTTGCACATTTTCTTGGACGGTATACAACCTAATAGGCATTTTTTAAATTATTTGTTTATTCTTTCAGAACTTCGTTTGAAATTTTTAATGTCAATGTGACAATTACGACAATTTGTACCTACTGTGAAATGAATATAGATATGGAAACGTGTAACATGTCACAGCGATTGCTATTGTGTTGTATGGTCAATAACACAATGTCGTGATCTGTATACAAAATGGTTATTAATAATAAATAACAATTTACCTGTTTTGTTTAAAGCTCCTTTTAACACTTTTTGCACGAGGTGTTTCACTCGACTTCTGCATATCATTTTTAATCTTACTAGTACTAGGTTTCGCCGATGAATTCCAACAAATCACACCTCTATTTTCAACATTAGTAGTACTAGACTCCATCAGAGACTCTGAAGTCACTGTTTTATTAGATGATGCTAATTCGATGGTCAAGTCTGAGGGACAAGTCTGGAATTGCAAAACTAGCTTTTCCAATTCGGATAGTGCAACTTTGCTAAAAAATAAAATTAAGTTTAGAACTGTTAATTTTTGGAAAATCCTCTCATTTAGGAGAGTTGCTCAACCCTAATGTGGTCTAACAAAGACAAAAACCAAGATTTTAGACAAAATATTTTAATCTACACTGATCACAGGTTTGTTTTATTCTGTTCATTAGATGTTAAAGATATTCTCCTCAATTAGCCAGCACTAAGGTTTCGTCGCTCGATCAGTCCGATGAGCTATACCTTAAAAATATTCCTCAAAATAATTCACAATAGAATTTACAGAAAATTGGAAGAAGATATCGGAGAAACTCAGTTTGGATTCCGGGAGGGATATGGAACTCGCGAAGCATTATTTGCCTTTAATATCTTGACACAGAGGTGTTTGGATGTGAATCAAGATGTATTTGCTTGTTTCATTGATTACAACAAGGCGTTTGATAACCTTAAGCATTACCAACGTTTAGATATCTTGAAAGCTAAACAGTTAGACACTCGCACGCATCGAAAATAGCACAACAAATGAAATTCAAATTAAAAAAGGAGTTAGACAAGGATGTGTGCTGTCACCAATGTTATTTAATCTTTATTCGGAAGAAATTAGGAAGAAAGCATTGGAGGAAGAAGAGATTGGGATAAAAGTTAACGGCCAACTAGTTAATAAGATTAGATATCAGATAGATGGTTCCAGTGCACATCTAACCAATTATTTAAAGAAACAGCTTCAAAGATACGAATAGCAATGATAATTGCCAAACTCCGTAACGGAAAGGGCACTTGAAGAAGAAGAAGATTAGAATATTTTTTTTATATAAAAGAGGATAAGCCTCATATTTTTTCGAAAAATGTTCAAAAACTCGAAAACCGTTAAATAATCATTTGTGTTACTTTTATTGTGTATTTATTAACATATTTCCAAACGATTGTGGAGATTATTTCCGAGAAAAATGTAAAAATTGGATTTCAGGATTTGAAAATAAGAAAATGATGTTTTCTAAAAAATATTGTTTTTTGGCATGTCCCAAGATCTTCATATATAATGATTATTTGTAATATATGTCCTCTTTTGGATTCATAAAACTTTCATGCGGCAGCTGACGTGTTAAATATTTTATAAAATTATGCAGAAATACATACTTTTTCATTTTATCTAGAACAACACTAGTCAATTTTTTCCAATTATTAATGAGACTCGGAATTTTGTGATTGATTCCCTGTTCTTTTAATTTTATGCAAATCGGATTCCAGTTTTCAATTACGTGTAGATCATTTTTGAGAGAGTGTCCAAACTGTAACATCAACTTGGCTAAGGTCATATTCCTGCAATAAAAAGTTTATTATAATCAACAAAATAAATTCTTTATTTGACGTTTTGAAATCAAACTATATAACTTACTCGGCTTCCACCTGCGTTGAAAAAGCTTGTTCTGTTTGAAGTAAAAGGGATGGTTTTCTGACCATTGATGCTTGTCTATTAATTTTTAATTTCTCATTTAATAGCGCCCTTCTTTTGATTATCTCTTCGGTATTTATACAATTTTTGTAAAACTCAGAAATTTTTTGTAGTAGGTTGTAACAGTTAAGGCACACTCTGAGTGGAACGACATCCTATAATATTTCACACGAAATTATTAAAATAAAATCATACATTTATAAAATTTGTAAATCTGTATGTAGCAAAAGTATAAGCCACTTGATCACCTTAAGTACCAATATAATTTGGAAAACTCTTGCACCAAAGCTATGTTCCAGTAACACGAATTGAGTTACCCTTATCTTATCCCAGATCATCAGTTTGGTTTTCGCTCAAATCACTCAACCATACAACAGTGCCATAGATTAGTCAACAAAATAAAAGAGAGCCTAGAAGGGAAACAAATCTGTCTATCAGCATTCCTCGATATACATCAAGCATTTGATAGAGTGTGACACGAGGGTCTTCCCTTTAAAATAAAAACTCAGCTAACTGACCAAATCTACCTCCATAAATCATACTTGCCCGACAGATACTTCCAAGTTAAATACGAAGGTGTTCTATCCAACTACCACCAAATAAAATTCGGAGTACCTCAAGGCAGTGTACTTGGCCCATTCCTTTACCAAATCTCTCACTGCTGATATTCCTATTAGTGAAAATACACGAATGGCAACATTTGCGGATGACACTGGTATACTAGCATCAGACATCAACTAAATATTAGCATTTAACAAATTGCAAAATCATCTCAATGAACTAGAAGACTGGCTTAAATGCTGGAAAATAAACGTCAACACAAACAAGTCTTGTCAAGTAAATTTCACAAATCGAAGAATTAGATGTCCACAACTACACTTAAATAATTCACCTATACCAATAAAAACAGAAGTAAAGTACCTGAGCCTTCATCTAGAACGAAAAATTTACTTGGATATCACATATTGCAGTCAAACGACGACACCTGGACCTAAAAGATAAAAATATGAGCTGGCTAATCAACAGAAGAATTTTGCTGAATCGCAACTTTCATTAGAAAACAAACTGACCATCTATAAAACAATACTCAAACCAGTGTGGACATACGAAAATGAGCTGTGGGGCTGTAGCAAACCATCCAACACCAAAATACTACAGACATTGCAGTCAAAAACTATTCTTATGTTAGCTAAAGCCCCATGGTATGTGTAAAACCAAACCCTTCATCAATGATGTGATTGCTGACCACTCCAGAAGATACATAAATCGCAGTGCAGACCATCCAAACAAACCATCTCATAGACGAATTATTCAACCCCCCACTGGTTAACAGACGTCTAAAAAGACTTTGGCCAGAAGACCTAGTTGCTAGGTAAATTCCAGAGAGTCGTCAATGGACGACACCTGCCACAAGCCAAGAACATACATCATCTTTACTTATTACTGTATTGAGAGAGAGAGAGAGAGAGAGAGAGAGAGAGAGAGAGAGGAGAGAGAGAGAGAGAGAGAAGTCCGCCAGGGTTGCGTGCTGTCCCCACTACTTTTCAATGTCTACAGTGAAGCGGTATTTCAAGAAGCGTTCTCAGACTCAATAGAAGGTACAGTCAAACAGATATCTCGTGAAATAAAAAAGTCACCGCGCAGAAACAAATTTGAAAGTGGGGGTCTAGCAAAGCCATTCGTGCAGTAAACGTTATGCAGTGAGGAGCTGAATATTTTTACACTGTTGCATTATTTCTTTTACTCGCGGTATTTAAATTTAATTTTTTGTGATTTTAGGTTTTGTATGTGTATGTTTTGTTTTCCCGATTTTCGTAGAAAACACCCGTAGAAAAAATGAATGTTTGGAATAAAAGTGTAGCTAAGATCATTTTGAATAAAAATGTGTATAGCACTTTTTCTGTAGAATAAACCAGAAATTTTAGGGTAAAGTCCGAGGTTAAAAGTGGTGAACGTTTAACATCTTCTTTGGGGTCCAAAAATTGACATTCTCAGCAAAATTCAACTTGTTCGTATGATTTTTAGAGGTTCAGTGGCATTTTCGTCTCTGAAGACTGGAGAAAATACCTATTTATTAGCTATTGCCCTGCTGATATAAATATCAGCAGGGCAATGCTCCTCGTTCTCCCTTCCAAGAAAACATATTATAAAAGAAAAAAGAAGCAAACTATTGATTACTTCGACAAAGGGGTGTTAAGCCATTCATAAAATGTATATAAGCGAGACAGAAGTACCTCAGCTAAAAAATATTCTGCCTAAATTCAGAGATGTTGTAGGCTATCAAGGTAGTCGAGAATCTTTAAGATTAATTATAGGAGACATTGGCTTCCACTGGAGAAAAACAAATCGAATACTTCTAATGGAAGGACATGACATTCGGAAGCTTCGTATACACTGCTTAAGAGCTGTTAATAAGTATCGAGAAGAAGGTCGTCCTATAGTGTATATGGATGAAACATACATTCAGTCAACACATACCACACGTAAAAGTTGGAGTGATGATTCGAATGAAGGTAATAAGCAACCAAGATCAAAAGGAAATTGTTTGATTATTGTACATGCTGGTGGTGTGGTTTTGTTCAAGGAGCTGCCTTATTTTATAAATCTGTTATTAAAACAGGCGACTATCACGACGATATTTTTAAAAATTATTGTGTGGTCCGAAAACAAATTAACACTCAATCTTCCTCCACAAAATGTTGTAGTAATAGATAATGCACCTTATCACAATAAACAAATTAACAAGGCACCAACATCAACACCAACAAAAGAATTAATAAAGAAATGGTTAGAGGCCAGAAATATTCCTATAAACAATAGTATGCTAAAGACAGAACTGTACGATTTAGTAAAAATGCATAAAACAGCATATGTTCTTTATGCAATAGACGAGATCGCAATAAAAACATGGACATACAATTTTAAGATTACCTCCATATCACCCAGATCTTAATCCAATCGAGCTGATCCGGGCCAGCTTAAAATCCTATGTAGCATAAAAAAATATTACATTTAATATCAATAATGTAAAAGACTTATGCGAACAATTCTTTGCGACTTTCCCTCCTACTGAGTGGCAAAGCCGATGCAGCCATGCAAAAAATTTGAGGAAGAATTTTTGGTTCTACTAGCAACAATGGAAAATAATATGGAAAAATTTGTCATAACTTTAAGAGACAGCGATTCGGAATGGGATTTTTCCTTTTATCAAGAATATTTTTTTTTGTAAAATGTAAGATACTCTGTTCCTCATTTGTATATAATTTTTTGGGATACATATGTGTATATCATACCTCACCAAAAATAATTCCCTTATTCTTTTAGTCATCAAATTGTGTAAATTATTTGAAACTCATTTTTTCAGATATCAAACTAAAAATACCCAATATTACTGAGATCATCCACATATTGACAACATTGTAACATTTTTAATATCTACCGAGAGATTATCAAGCCGTACAATGATTGTAATGTTCGGGTAAATTCCATTCTTTTCTGGCCGAATACTTTCTCTCTCTGCGCACTAGAAGCTCCGCCCGTTTCGCGAGATTCCTGTTCACCTGTATATCTATCAATGGAGAAGTTTTGAATAACTTACGTTTTGCAGACGATACAGTAATAATTACGGATAACAACAACGATTTACAGAACGTAATGCAACGCCTTAATGAACGCTGTCATGAGTACGGACTGAAGATAAATTTAAAGAAAACTAAATGCATGATCATGACTAAATCTGCACATGCAAATATCCAATTGACTATTGAAGATACTGCAATTGAGATTGTTAATAACTATAAATACTTAGGAACATGGATAACATCAGATGTAGACCAAACCTAAGAAATTAAGACACGTATTGAAATAGCACATCATTTATTAAACTTAAAAAGTTTCTTTGTTGTCGGGATATCAGGTTAGAACTACGCCTGAGAATGCTTCGATGTTACGTGTTCCCTACTCTTCTTTATGGTTTGAAAGCTTGGACACTAAAACAAGTTCATCTGAATAAGTTGGCCGCCTTTGAATTTTGGTGTTACAGAAGAATCCTACGAATATCATGGATTCAAAGAATGTCAAACATGGAAGTAACTAGAAGGATAGGAAATGAGGCGGAAATAATATTAACTATTAAAAGACGAAAACTTGAGTACTTGGGACATGTGATGAGAGGGCGAAAGTACGCATTATTACAACCTAGTATGCAAGGCAAAATCCGAGGAATAGGCCAATCAAGTTAGGTTTTTACTCATCACAAGTGTATAGACGGGTTTGACAGTTGAAATAAGTAGTATGAGATATTACAAAAAGACTCTCATCTAGGGATTCATGAATTTTTTAGTGGAAATATTTTTAAATAAACAATTAAAACGTCAATATCATTATTTTGCTCATAACTTATAAACTTGTCTATTTAGAGATTTGACGGCCACAGACAAGTTGTTGAGAAAAAAAAAATACACAAAATGAGATATACTAAATTAAAATCGGTTAATAAACAAAAAAGTTATTGCATAATAACCAAGCAAAACCACTGTTTTTGATTATTGTTAATTACTCTGTTATTAATCAATAAAATTTATTTAAATGTATCTGAACTTAAAGACCTTATCGTGTTCGAAGTGTGTGCGAAAGATAGGCTAGATCCGTCGAATAGTTTTTGCACAATTTAATTTGTTTATAAGATTTTTTGAAAAATGCACAAATTTCTAAGGCCGGTCCAGATAATTTGACTGAATGGATCTTAATAATCCGGGGCTTATTTTCTTTGTTGAGATATATATTAATATCCTATGGAAAAAAAAAGTTAAAAAAAATTACGTTTATGTACACAAAATGATTTAACAATAAATAGCACTTTTTAAGCTTATAAACATTTACAATAACTCCGTACTATTTAGTTTAAATTAAATGGCAATAAAATATTCGGAAGGCGGGTTTAAAAAACAACAACTTTAAAAAAAAAGGTCCTGCGACCATTAGGAGCCGAGTTAGTCCTTTTTTTTTTAAATCACTGTTACGTCAATTAACAACATTAAGGGCTGAAATTAACCAATCTTTTAGAAGAAAAGTCAAAGTTTTTAACAAAATATTTAGCAAACAAAATAATTGAAAATTGATTAAACAGGAGTGTTGTAAACCAAGAGTACTTTGCGTTCCGACTCAAATGGAAGCAGTGGGGATTGCCGATTGCACTCAAGCCGCGCTCTAAAAAAAGTCGAGCGTACGTCGAAAGCAGATGCTGTTAGGCCGTTTAAGTTACAACTCATTTTCCTGCGACTATACAACCGGTTTGTTGTATTGAAATATTTAGTGTTTTGTTTTATTTAATAATTGTTACAAATAATTAATGGTAAGTAAAATTCATCTGAATATTAAAAAAAACTACGTGTTGTGATATATATTAATATAAACACATGGTTGTACCACGTTGTCTGAATAATATACGGTTAACTTTGAATATAATATTATTTTACTATTATAATGTACTAATATTTATGAAATTATTAATGAAGAAGAAAACGATACAACAGATGAACAAGAGATAATTGATGAAATGTATTTAACTGGGTTTGATGAGAATAGCGACAATGAAAATGAAATGATTTATGAAAGTTATAATACAAGTGAAATTGAAGATGAAAGTGAAGATGAATGTTTACATAGTAGTAGCAGTGACGATATAGAAATTAAGCGTAGAAAATTACAGTAAATTAAATTATTTTAAAAAATCACTACACAAAATTTCAACTTCTGTAATAACATAAAATTAATTTATTATTTCATTAATAAATTTTTAGTAAACATTATTCAAAATATTCATTTACTTATAACATTTATTTAATATAATCATATTTGAAATAAATAAATAGAAAAATAACAATAAAAAGACGACTTAAGAAAAAGTTTGTACATTCCGTAGTCATTAGCTGCTTTGTTTTGAATAATTTTGCAATGAAAGTACGTTAAATGTTATTATTTTAACGATGTACCCCAGTTTAAAAAAAAAGAACAAATTTGGTCCACTAGAACTCGAGATATGTCATTTTTTTCCAAGCACTCTATTTTGAAACCGTGCGCTCGACTTTTTTGGAGAGCGCGGCTTGTGTGCAATCGGCAATCCCCACTCCTTCCATTCTAGTCGGAACGCAAAGAACTCTTCGTTTACAACACTCCTGTTTAAACAATTTTCAATTATTTTTTTTGCTAAACATTTTGTGAATAACTTTGACTTTTCTTCTAAAAGATTGGTTAATTTCAGCCCTTAATGTTGTTAATTGACGTAACAGTGATTTAAAAAAAAAAAAGGACTAACTCGGCTCCTAATGGTCGCAGGACCTTTTTTTTTTTTAAAAAGTTATTGTTTTTTAAACCCGCCTTCCGAATATTTTATTGCCATTTAATTTAAACTAAATAGTACGGAGTTATTGTAAATGTTTATAAACTTAAAAAGTGCTATTTATTAATAAATCATTTTGTGTACATAAACGTATTTTTTTTTAAATTTTTTTTCCACAGGATATTAATATATGTCTCATCGAAGAAAATAAGCCCCGGATTATTAAGATCCATTCAGTCAAATTATCTGGACCGGCCTTAGAAATTTGTGCATTTTTCAAAAAATCTTATAAACAAATTAAATTGTGCAAAAACTATTTGAGGATCTAGCCTATCTTTCGCACACATTTCGAACACGATGAGATCTTTAAGTTCAGATACATTTAAATAAATTTTATTGATTACTAAAAGAGTTATTAACAATAATCAAAAACAGCCGTTTTGCTTGGTTATTATGCAATAACTTTTTTGTTTATTAACCGAATTTAATTTAGTATATCTCGTTTTGTGTATTTTTTCTTTCTCAACAACTCGTCTGTGGACGTCAAATCTCTAAATAGACAAGTTTATAAGTTATGAGCAAAATAATGATATTGACGTCTTAATTGTTTATTTAAAAATAGTTCCACTAAAAAATTCATGAATCCCTAGATGAGAGTCTTTTTGTAATATCTCATACTATCCATTTCAACTGTCAACAATTTTCTACTAACTTGACTCGTCTAGAAAGCGAAATGTGGGAAGACGAAGAATATCCTGGCTTAAGAACTTAAGGGAATGGTTTGAATGCAGTAGTGCAGAACTTTTTAGAGCGGCAGTCAACAGAATCCGCATAGCCATGATGATTTCCAACCTTCGATAGAAGATGGAACTTAAAGAAGAAGACTGTATTGAAACAAATTTTAAATTAGCAATAAATAAATAAAAAATTCAGCCACTCACAACAAACAGCCCTTTAGACATCGATAATGGCAACAGTGCTAAAAAACATGACGCAAATTTGTTTCACACACATATGTTTTGTTTCTTATTTTTTTTTTATTCTAAATGTAGTTATAATAATAAATATTGGTGCAATAAAATTTTGTCTGGTTAAAATTTCATTTTTTTCTACCTCTTTTATAACGTCACTCTGATATAGCACAGCTGATATTCTTACAGCTAAAGGCAAAGCAGTTATCTTCTTAAAAAAATCAGTATAGTAGACTAAACTTGTAGTGTTACCACACGTATGTTTAATATTTATTTTTTTGGAGCCCTAGAACAGTCCATTGTCCAATAAATTTAGTAAAACACAAATACTTACCGGTGAGTAGTTACTGACAAACATCTTCTGTAGTACGATTCCGAGCTCGGAATCCTTTCTCAAGGGAAAAAAATTAGAACAGCTGTCAGGGCACGCCCTACACAGTACCATGGCACCATATTTTTCAGGAGTCATATCCTTGCAGAGGAAGTCTTCTACTTCTATGGCTCTCTTTTTATACGCAAAAAACAACCAGATGCGATAGTTGCATTTTTCACAAATTATTGGTATGGGATCCGATGGAATAACCTATAGTTGTAGTGTGCATTAATAGATATAATCTACAATTAAAATAGGTAAGTATTTATATTCTCTTAGGCAATTTTAACACAAAAAACGCAAAATTCCGGCGTTGGCTGGTCCCAAGCCCAGGATGAAAAAGGAAGAGTGTTAAGTAAGGGACTAAACATTCCCTCTGAATCTTTTAAGACGACACAGGAAAATGAATGAACCTGGAACATACTACTAACTCCTGGAAAGCCTTATGGTTAAAGAACTTGAATCCAGAAATATGGACATAGACTGGTGAAGTCTTACTGAAAACTAGTAAATTTGTAGTATTTTTCAGCGGAAGTGAACAGGAGCTTCAATTCGGCACTAGTCAAGGAAAGTCTTGTGGGGTCGGCCATAACCTTCAATCCTGTTAACGAAAATCTCTGCTATATCAGACTAGAAGGACAATGCTCATGTATCGGCAGAGGAAAAGGAAGAGCAAGTAAAAAACCATTTCTTCGAGAAACTAGAGGAACTGACAAATTATCTCCCCAAACAGGATATACTAGAAAGAGCCAAAATATACAGTCTCACCCCGAGTATTGATCTTTCCATAGCTCCTTGTGCTTTTACTATTTTATCCATATTAGACTTGGTGAGTATCCACGTCTTTGAACCATACGTGGGTATAGGGAGGATGCACTGATCGTAAACTTTGGTTTTCAAATATTTTTCTATTTTAGTGCTTTTCAAGATCCAACTCAGTTTTCAAAATCCTGCCCTCGCTAACCTTATTCTTCTGGTAATTTTGGCAGTTTGATTTTCTTTGTTAACTTTAATTATCTGTCCCTGGCAGATGAATTTGCTTACTGTTTCTAAATTTATGTCGTTCAACGTTATTTCTCTAATGTTCGGTGTATTTGTCATTATTTGAGACCTACTTGTCATCAGCGTATCTCAAATGACTCAGTTCTGTTCCATTAACATTTATTGCTTCATCTGCCCAGTCAATGGCTTTGAACACGTCTTCTAGTCCAAGTGTGAATAGTTTTGGTGAGATAACATTTCCCTGGCGAACTCCTCTGTTGATTGGTATAGCTTTGGTTTTCGCATCTATTTGTATTTTCATTGTAGCTTTCTTGTAAATATTATGTATGAGCATTCTGTATCGGGAGTCTGTCCTGCAGTTGTTCATAGCTATCTCTATTGCCCAGAGTTCTATGGAGTCGAATGCCTATTCATAATCAACGAAGCTAATGTGTAAGTTCAAGTGATATTCATTGGCTTTCTCGCTTAGCGTAGTTGCCATTCGTTATCTTTCTCTTAAGATCTTCCTTTGCAGTGATTTGGGTTCTTGTCTGAGGAATATAAATCACGGTAAAATGTTTGAGTAACTTTTAGGATTTCGTTCTTTTCTTTTATTTCTTTTCCATCTTTATCCTTCAATGAGATTATTGAAGACTTTCCTACGTTTGATCTTAAGCATTTCAGGCCTCAGTTCTTTTCTATTATTTTTTCTACCTTGTTTTCATTGCAGATCCTTTACTCCCTTCTTTATTTGTTTATCCAATTCATTGAAACCATCGTTGTTTCGCTTTTCTTCGCTTAGAAATGTGCGTCTCTTTTCCATCAACCGTTTTGTTCCATCACTTATTCTGTCTTCTTTCGTTTTCTTTGCAACAGTCAGTCCTACTTTCAAGAGCGTTCGTTGCATTTTTTTATTAATTGTGTTTATATTGGAATATTCTTGTTGATAATGTTCTACAAATCCTTTTCTTAAGACTTCTCTGTACTCATCTCCCTTCTATCGCATTTTAGTTTGATCTATCTGATTACAATAATTATATGGCCTGTTTCTACTGGTTTTCGTCTGTTTCGCAAAAATTCTTGTTCTTAAGAGGCGATAATCGCTGCCAGTTGTGCATCAATTGAGAGCAGTTATTCTTCAAACATGTCTTTGTTCCCAAACAAGAAGTTATCGATCTCGTTTTTCGTCTTTTTATCGGAAGATGTCCAGGTCTATTTTCGGTTTACTGGTTTCTTGAAGTGTGTGTTCATGTCATATAAATTTTGTTGTTCAAAGAAGTTATATAATTTTTCTCCTCTTTCATTTCGTGTGCCATAACCATGCATTCCTATTTTTCTTTCAGTATTTTCTTCTTTTTTACCTAATTTTGCGTTAAAATCTCCTATAATGATGGTATACTTTGTATCATTTTCTTCTAATGCTGTAGTAACAGCATTAGAAGATTGGAAGGACTACATCAACAAAAAAAGGAAAAAAATACAACTAAGACAAAAAGAGATCAATTATTGGTTAATTGACAAAAAATCTAAGCTGTCAATTAAATTCCAATTTATAAAACAGTTATTAAACCAATATGGACATATGGCAGGGATGGCCAACCCGCGGCACGCGTGCCACTCTGTGGCACGATTGAGTCCTATCAGTAGCATGCGTAGCGTGCCACTGATAGGACTTTCAAACTGATTAAACTTTCAAAAAAATTAAAACTTGAAAAACAAAAAATAATAAGAAGAAACTTGGTAGGTTTACGGAAGTTACGATAGATGCGGCATCATTACATCCTCTGGCAAGCGATATTGCTGCGATTGGTGCACGTGATCCTAGCTGTCGTAATGTGCAATAGGACTGCGTTACCCTTGCTTAGTTTATTTTAAACTGCCCCGTTGTATATGCACATTTTGTCATCGCGCGCTGTTTCTTTAAAATTTTAAAAGTATTTGTTCGATATGTCCACGAGTAAGCCTTCGACTTCAAAACGAATACGAAGATGATATTGCAATTCGCGATTTTCAACCTGCTTGGGAAGAACAATTTTTATTTACTAATCGTAATACTTCAAAGCCTGTTTGTTTGATATGTGGATTGTCTGTAGCAGTTCTGAAAAAAATTAACCTGGAACGACATTATAAACAACTGCATAAGGACTTCAGCAACAAATATCCTATTGGTTCACATTTGCGAGCCGACTTTATTGAAAAAAAAAAGAAAACCCTAGCCAGCCAACAGTCACTGTTTCAGAAGAGAAGTGATGAAATGGAAACTATGGTTAAAACATCATATGATCTTTCTCTGCTGTTAGCCCGGAAGAAAAAAGCCTACTTTGATATAGAGGAGATAATTAAAAATAGTCTGGCAATATTTGCTAAAAATGTGGGAGATGTAAAGATCAAAAATATGGTCGATAATATGGAATTATCCCTAAATACAGTCATGCGCCGTATAGATGATATGGGCCAGGATGTTGTTTCCCAAATTATAAGTGGATTACAATCCTGCAAATTCCTTTCTTTAGCGTTGGATGAAAGTTGTGACAACACAGAAAATGCGCAGTTAAGCATTTTTGTCCGTTATACCAATGATAATTTTGAAAATGCCGAAGAGCTTCTGGATTTGCGCCAACTAGTCACAACAACAGGAGAGGACATTTTTCAACAGCTTAAAAACGTAATCGAAGTCAACAAAGTTGAATGGTCAAAATTAGATAGTGTTTGTACAGTTGGAGCTCCTTGCATGGTTGGTAGACTAAAGGGGTTTGTTACATTACTGGAAAACTATTTGGGAAGAAAAGTTTTTAAGTACCATTGTATTATTCACCAGGAAGCTCTTTGTGCCAAGGACCTAAACATGTCATCTGTTGTTGACCCTGTAACACGCTGCATTAACAAAATACGAGCTCGGGCATTGAATCGACGACAATTTCGAGAACTGTTCGCGGAAGAAACGGAGCAAGATGGAGAGTTACTTCTCCATTGCAGTGTGCGCTGGCTCTCCAAAGGAAATGCACTCAAAAGGTTTTGGAACTTGAAGGAGTGCGTCTTAAAATATTTGCAAGAAAACAATGAACTACCCAGTGAGTGCTCGTTACTTAATGATAAAGATTGGCTTTGGGATTTAGCTTTTCTCACTGATATTATGAGACATTTAAATCTATTAAATTTAAGATTACAGGGAAAAAAATGTATTTTTCCTTCTCTAGTTGGTCATATATCTTCTTTTGTGAATAAACTTATGCTTTTTTGTAACGATTTTGGAGAACAGAGATTGACACATTTCACATTAATGCAGGAATTAGTCAACAAGGTCAGTAGAACTCCAAATTATGACAGATTTAACAACCTTATATCTATTTTGCTAGGTTCATTCAATACCCGCTTTGAAGATTTTCAAAAAGACAAAATGAATGTTGACCTTTTCATAAATCCTTTTTCTATTTCTCTGCAAGATATCAATTGTTACTCAGCTGAAATACAGATCGAAATTATTGATTTACAGAACCACACTATACTAAAAACCAAATATAGGGAAATTATTTCAACTGTTACTGATCCCAATTATATTGAATTTTGGAAATTTGTACCAGCAAACAATTTTCCTAATTTACACAAGTTAGCTCTGAGATATTGTTGTAGATTTGGTTCAACGTACGTTTGTGAGCAAATGTTCTCTATTATGAACATAATAAAATCAAAATATCGGTCATGATTAACTGACATGCATTTAAAAAATCTAATTCTGTTGGCTAGTTCCGAAATTAATCCCAATATAGATGAATTAATTAAAAAAATACAAGTTCAAATACCACATTAAATAAGTAACTGTTTAATAATTTGAATTTTAGATAATAAGAAAATATTTAAGTTTTTTTGTTTAACGTTTTTATTTTATTTTTATTAACAATAAAGTAAGTTTGTTGTTATGTTTTACTTATTACGTTATTTTTTAAACCTCCACTATCTTGACTAAACGGAAAAATGTGGAATTTACATAAGAAATACATATTGTACCGTATATTATTAATATATAGTATCCATATTAGTATGTCGAAAAATTTTAGTGGCACGCCAAATTTTTTTTGTTCTCATATTGGCACTCGACTTAAAAAGGTTGGCCACCCCTGACATATGGCATAGAGCTGTGGGGCTGTACTAATAAATCCAATATTGGAATTAAAAGATGTCAATCAAACATCTTAAGAGCAATTGTTGATGCACCCTCGTACGTAACCAACCAAAGAATCTATGAGGATCTCAACATCTCTCTCTCTCTCTCTCTCTCTCTCTCCTCTCTCTCTCTCTCTCTTTTTCTCTCTCTCTCTCTCTCTCTTTCTCTCACTCTCACTGGAGGGGACCAGATTACGCCAGAGGGACTGGACCTAAATTTATCACATTACCTTATAGAATACATGATTTTATTCTGATCGTTAATTTATTAGTTATAATAAAAATTTCTTCTTCAGATGTACGTTAATGATTGTTCTTTTTTGCCATTTTAATGATAATAATTAGTAAAAACATTGAGCTTAAAGTTATACTTACAAATTCCTTGAAACAAAATGTGAATAAATGATTTAAGGGTTCTGGATTAACTGTGATGATATTGTTGAGTTCTTCCTAAAAATCAATTAAGAAAATAATACTTGTTCTAACAAAAAATAAAAAAATATATACAATTATCCGGCTTGTGGAAAATAGTCCAATTACAATAAGTCAAAACATTTGAAAATTTATTAATAGAATATAATAATAATAATAATGACAATAATTAAATATGAATATAAGTTGCACAAAAACCTCACACAGCATCATAATAAATTCACAGGTTAGAATTTAAAACTTCGGGAATTTTAAAGGACAGAGTAAATTTATCAGTGTTGATTGCCCGGTTTAACAGTCTAGAATCTAGTATCTTCTTCTTCTTCCTTTTATTCTTTCTTTCTATTTTGTGTCCCTTCATTTATACACTGTACATTACATTTTCTTCTAATGTCTTTCGGTTTCTCAACATATTTCCTGTAATTCTTCTCAGTACTCTTATCTCTGCAGTTTCCAGTCACTTTTGCGTTGTGGCTGTCTTGGGTCTTGTTTCTGAGTCATATGTCATTATTGGTCTTACACTGGCTTTATAAATTCTTGACTTCATCTCAATGTTAATGTATCTGTTTCGCCATATAGTGTTATTAAGGCATCCTGCCAGTCTATTAGCTTTTTGTACTTGATCTCTCACTTCTTTGTCCAGGTTTCCATAGCTAGACAGTGTAATTACCATGTATTTTATTTCTGTTACTTGTTCAATACTGATGCCATCAATTTCTATTTTACATCAGGTTGGTTCTTTGCTGACTACTATTGTTTTAGTTTTCTGAGATGAGATTGTCATATTAAATTCTTTTGCTCTCATGTTAACTCTGTGGACCTTCATCTTGGGCAATTAATGTTGCGTCGACTGCGTCAGAGTATTTTTTTTCTTTGTTTCCCATTCTGTATCATTTAACACTTTTGATGATTTAATCCATGATCAAATTGAAGATCATGGGGCTCAATGAATCCCCTTGTCTTATTCCGCTGCCTATTTCTCCATTTTTAACTCATTTTATATTTCGTGGAGAAATATATTTTGAAAATAAAGATAATCTACCTTTAACAGGAAATATAATTAAAATGCGTCGTTTTTAATGCTCCTTAAATTGTTTTATAATTATATGAAGTAATTAGTGAAATCTTTAAGCTGATAGCCATCTTTAGAAATTCTCAACTTTCTAAGTAAACATCTTGTAAAGAAAAATTTGTAATTAATTATCTATTATTATAATTAGCCGTATAATTGGTTATAGATGACAAGAGGAATGTCTTTAAAAATATAAAATGAGAAACATTAGTGATCTTCTAACTAGTGTTTAGCTATCTTAGTCTTTAGGTACGTTCTTGGTCTCGTGGAGAATGAACTCTAATAAATTTATTTTTGGGGCCCCATCTAAAGAATTTGCCACGGGCCTCTGGCCTCAGATCGTATGGTTATATCACTGCGTGCAACGTTGATTTGTTTAACAGCATATAAAAACTGTCTTTATTTGTGGCAAAATACACAAAATTGCATACGAAACCTGCACTCTTCACCTTTGAAACGCATGAATGACAAATATTTATTTTAACTTATTAAAACAATCGATACCACATTTTACAACAAAAATACTATTTTAGCAGGCTGTTTTAGCTGTTCTTTATCTGTAAAAATGAGAGATAAGAGAGTAATTTTAAAAGTGAATTTGTGTGTATTCTGAACATCCATCGGTGAATTAATAATAGGTATCCTTTTACAAAGAGTCATTTTATTTTAATTATCGCGACGTTTAGATATCACGACTGCTTACTACCTGCTTTTAGCACAAAAGCATTTATTGTGAATTGTTCATTGTTTCAAACAAGTCTATATCACCCGATAGCGGCGCCTTTGTCAGCGAAATTTTGACTAATTGCGTGAGGAAATTAATTCAGAAACAAAGTATGTTGATGCCATGGACCTATAAACATAGATGGACACAGCAATAAGATACTTTTAACACACAATGTTTTGAAGCTTCCATAGAATGTGATGCTTCCGCAATGAGCATAAGCGTGCTTGAATTTTTACTCGCGGGTAATTATTCAGATTTTAAAAATTGGAAGTAGTAATAATGTATAAAAACACGTTCAAAGAATTAAAAAAAAAAACGAGAGTTTAACTATTAACAAATCACGTCTTTATAGAAAAATTAAAACACAATTTTATTTGCTTTAAAATTAATACAATTAAATATAGTTGAATTCAAGTTAATTTTTTAATAGGTATCAAAATAATGGTACAATAAAAAATCCTTGTCAAAAAAATCAAAAAATCATATGAAAATGTTTTCTCCTTAATTTGCTACCCAAATAGTTCGATCGTCAATATTATTTGGAAACCTACATAGGAAAATAAATGAGTTTTATTCATTTCACTAATTTATTTGTATCCATGAGAAATATTAAATTAAAAAGGTACTAAACAGATCTTTTTTAATCAGATGATGTCTACTTATAATTTATAAATGTCTACTAATTTCATGAACTCATATCTTATTCAATACATTAATGAACATGAATAAACCCAATGGTACGCCTATTAAAATGTAAACAAACACGCTTCCTCATTTCCTCATCTTAAATAATGTAAATTGTATGTACTTACAAATGAAATGAGAGATCGGGATGTAAATATTTCGTTTATTTTATTTTACTTTTCACAAATATCACTCAAAATACAGCCAAAATATCGAAAAACAACTTTTTCCTCATCTACTGTCAAAAGTAAACAAACATGGAACAGCATTTGAAGTTTGACGTAGATCCATAAGACAGAGAAATGTAAACAACCGTTGCCATTTATAAATAGTTTTCAGTGCTTCTACATATAAAATAATTGATTGATATCTATTATACGCTATTATTAAATGATAATGCACACTATGTGCATACTTGATATTTTGATTACAATTAAATATATTAATCTAACCAATAAATTATTTTGGTTTGATAGCACCTGTAGAGTATAAAATACGGAGTAATATTTTCAGCGACTCGCGAATAAGAAATTTTAAAACAAAACGTGACAACAGTTGAAGGTGCTGAGAATGTGACCTATTCAAATAATTTTGACTACACAATTCTATGTAATTAACTGAGTCCATCTGTGTTTATACATCCATTGTTGATGAAATTACTACAGTAGAACCTGGATAACTTAAAAACCTCTATACTTCAAAAAATTATGTTACCTTCTTTCATAACCTCTATAACATAAAATTGTTTGCCAATGAGTCATTTCGAAAGAACATGCTTTCAGTCATATTTATTGCTTTTATGTGTTCACTTAATGTAAACTACATTATATCTACCCTATGAATTTTTTCTTGGAATCTCTTAAAAGCTGTATTTGCGGCGGTTAGAATTAGGATGAGAATTGAACGAGTCTCACAATACAATTACTTGGGAACTGTAATCAATGAGTCGTGGGACAATACCCAAGAGATTAAATGTCGCATCGTAAAGGCAAAGAGTGCATTCTTGACTATGAGTTCTGTGCTCAATAGCCATGACCTCACCCTAGAAACAAATATAAGGCTCCTTAAATGTTATGTGTACTCAGTGCTTCTGTACGGAGTAGAAACGTGGACATTAAAAACGGAAACTCTATCAAAACTTCAGGCTTTTGAGCTATAGTCATACAGAAGTATCTTGAAAACTTAGCAATATTGGCAATATCATTTTAAAGTCGTCTACTATAAAATGTATAATCTATGTCTGAATTGTCAATATAAATGAGTCAGATAAAATTACCTAGAAGGATTTTTAGAAAAAAAAAAAGTTTTAAAACATGTTCGATAGAATTTTCTTCTCATATTTTTTAGTGGCTTTCTGATTCTAATGGTTTTTAAAACATTTTCTTCATATAAAACAAGAATGAGTTGACCGATTGAAAATTCCTTCATTCAATGACGAAATAATACCATAAAGATGAACTGTGCAAAGTTTCAGTAAACTCAGTCAATTCGTTTTCGAGAAATCATGCCTTCAGCACGAAAAAAACAAAGTTTCGAGAAAAACCGTTTAAGTTTTTAAACGGTGAGCGCATGTACCGACAGAGAGGTATTTAAATCTCTATAACTTAGAAGAAAGTAGAAAGACTATATTCTACTGTTATTGTCATTATGTTTTAATATTACTTTTATATTAAGTGTAGGTTGTTACAGCAACCATTATAAATTGTAATTGACACCATTCTCTCTATTGACAATTTATATTTGTGTGTAACTTGTGAATCCTGAGAATAAAGCTTTTTTCTATTCTATACTTGCATACGAACTAAACAAATATATTGATTTTTTCAAAATACAAGACCTATGTAACCCCTTAACGACACCTGAGAAAAAATGGTCATATTGTGTCCTAGGTTTTCTAGGCCTTGACCCTTTTCTAAGTTTCAGTTGTTACTAGCAGATCCATTTTCTGTTGTTCAACTTCGTAGATAATCTCATTTATATTTTTGAATATCCCTTGTATGCCCAATACACCTATATCCATTATCTGTTTCTTTCGCATTGTTTGTATTCAGTTTTCAGTCCTCATCTGATGCTGTATCAGATTTTTGACAATGGTTCTTTTTGCGAAACTGGTCATCTATTGCTCAACCTCTCTCATTTGTCCAGGCTTAGGAACAGCTGTGACAATTACCAAATTGATGCTTTTTAGATCATCTTAAAAAAAGCCCCACCTTTTAGATCTTTCGACAATATAAAAATTTGTCGGTTATATTGTAATCCATGAAGTTACATGTTGCTGTTTCTTCGACTCCTTTGGTTGCTGGACTGTAGACTATAAACTAATTGTATGGTTCAGTTTGATCAATTCTTAGTATCGAAATTAGTAAAACCGCACATTTCTATTAGCATATTTAACATATAAACAAAATTGGAAATGAACATGTTTTTCTGTACAAAGCAAAAATTCTGTAGTTGTGAGTAAATTTATGTGGGCACAAACATGAAAATATTATTGATATTGATGAGAAAAACTTACCACCATACTTGAAGGTATATCTGAGGCAATACTAGAGCTCACAACAAAAAATGGCTCCTTATGATCAATGAAAGTATTGCATGTCCTACATATTCTGTCAGGCATGTTTTTATTCGGAATCATAAGTTTTATGTTTGGCGTATAGACTATACTGTTTATTATCATGGCATCTGATGAAATCTAAAAAAATGTTTATTGACATTAAATTGATAATAAATAGAATATATTGTTTTAATGAAATTATTACATTCAAAATTTTATAAAAACCCTTAATGTCAGTTTTCTCAAGATCGATGAATACAATATGAACATTTGTTCCATTACAGTAGAGTAGAGTAAATTTTTATTTGCATAAATTTTTAAACATAATTGAGCAAATAATGTCACATTATTAATTACAGATTAAAAAAATATATATATTGACATCACACATTTAAAATATATTAACATTACAAATTAAATTTATTGATCAAGGAGAAGGATAGGCCAGGCACTCCGCCACAGTATATGGCTCAATGTCAACTAGGTGTTGAAAAACCTTTCTTTTAAAAGTTCTATAGTGTGTTTCCTGTTTAATGTCAGATGGTAGACTATTATAAAATTTAACACACGCATACAAAGGACTTCTCTCTGTTATAGACAATCTGTGATGTGGCAAATTCAAATTAAGGCTTCTTGTATTATATTCATGATTGGAAAGCAGGTGATAAAACAAAGAAAAATTTTTAAAAAGGAACATAATACATTCAAATATATAGATGGCTGAGAAAGTGAGTATATTGAGTGACTTGAAACAGCCTCTACATTATTCTCCCGCCTTTAGTCCTAAGATCACCCAGACTGCTTTTTTTTTGGACTATCAAGACAGTTGAGCTATCTACTGCAGCACCTCAGAAGATTACTCCATATCGCATAACAGAATAAAAGTTTGCATAATATACTGATAGTAAAATCCCCTGGTCTAGATAGCTCTTATTCTTAGCATTATTCCTCTATTTATAATATTCTAGTTAACCCTCCAGCTGACAGGCAACATAAGATTACAAAAAAAAGTGAGGCCTGTGAGGACCAAACTGAAAGAAATAAATTAAACTGTTGTTGCATCTTTTACGAAAACGTGTGGAACAATAATATTTGTATTCGGCAATGCCTTAGGTCCAGGTACACAGAATATATTTTGTTCAAGATGGTAGCACAGTGACTGCGTAGTAAAAATATCACCATCACTCTGCATCTCTGTAAAACTGTTCAGCAGTCAACGAAAACATTAATTCGGTTGGAAAAGGCATATGCTTTTTTTCAAAATTTTTCACCTTTCTTCTCAATTCTTCTTATGACCTTCCAAACTTTCCTTTTTTATTTATGTATAGAAAATAGTTATCTACTCATTTGCTTCTATTTTTTTTATTAAGAAAAATGGTGATGTTTCAAAAACATACAATTCTGATATATACTCCATACTTCCCACTGTAGTCATTAATAAAACGAACTCTTCTAGTGTAACCACACACGCCTCTTAAATTCGTATGAACTGATTCATACAAATTTGTATGAATTTTCGTATTTCGTATTTGTATACATTTTCGTACGAATTCTTCTCCATTCCAATGTAACCGCCGCCTAATTTGCAAAGTATGACATTGCACATACAGATGATTTTCACATTTGGTCCCATTGAAGATAGCCTCAAATTAGCTGTCAATTAAGGTTCACAGAATGAAATATTGCGTTGGCAGTCTATGTTCTTATAATGTATATGTTATATGCTTCAAATACAAAGAGATAAAGCTTTTAAAAGGTACATTTTTATCATATTATTTTATGGATTCTGCAATTTTATAATTTACATAAAATTTTAATGAAGTAATATTTGTTTCGTTTGATATTAGTTGTAATAAATTATTAGAAATTTTTTTTGGCAATTGCCCTTTGATAGGTTAGCGGATAGATTTTTCAATAGTCAGAACCCTCAAACCACCAGCTGCCAGATTGCAACAGATGCCATTTAAATTTTATTATTTATACCGACATTTTACTATTTACTGTTAAAAACTGTTTTAAAACTATTTACTTTTTCTTTTTTTCGTAATTGTTAAATATTAGTTTTTAAATATCTTATTGCTTTTAATTGCGTATGTTTAATTTGTAATGCAAATTTCAACACTGAGAAACACCAATATTTCATTCTGTCAAACCCATTTGAAGCTATCTTCAATGGGACCAAATGTGAAAATCGTCAGCACATACAATGAATAAGCATACTTTTTCAAATTCTGAGTTCATGGGAAAAACATTTTGGAAAAGTTAATGTTTGGTATCTCTTCAGAGGTATAAATTAGAAAACACCTAGTGAAAGAACTTCATAGAATATATTAGTTGAAACACTAATATATAATAATTGCCATTTTTAAAATCATAAAAAAATTAATCATTCTTAACAAATTAGATATATTTGAGATTGTTAAACAACATTCATAGGTCATATGATGTAGACTTGAGTTCAATAGAGGATCACTTGCTTTTACAAGATTCAGTTTCCTATCATCTACGAGTTTAACAGTGTAGAATTTATGGATGAAGACTATACTGGAACTGAAAGTGAAGATGCTCTATGTAAACCATCTACACCAAAACAGGCACCTGATATAAAAACAGCATGTCCTTGGATTAAGAAAAATACAACTTGGTAGTTTGCCTACTTTTAATACATGCATTGAATAAACAAATAAAACCTTTGAACTTATATTTACATTAGTAAATCAATACAGATATCAGTTTGAGGAAAAATGGATATAAATTTCATGACCAAAATTTAAATTTTTTTTATTGAGTTAATGCCTCAGGTAAATTGAAAATGGTTAACATTTCAAACCTATTCATAAATGATGACAATTTACCAATTTAGCCAAATTTAGTTACCGGTATTAAGAAATAATAACAAACAATATATAATAACAAACCTCAAAATGATCTTCACAGAAAAATATTTGCTGGGTCTGGGTGTTTACTCCTTTAGTGGATTTTGTAGCTAGCGCCAACCATATTTCTCTGAGGTTCGATTTAATTGGTGGTAGAGGATAAAACTTTTTGTTTGAATAATTTTGATTAGCACAAGTAGGAACCCAACAAATGGTTTGGGAAGGTAAATTAGTTGTTTTGCTCATATTTATGCAGTATGCTTTATATAACTAAAAAAAATCACTTCCCGCTAAAATGCACGCTTAAAGTTCAAGCGCATCTGTAATAATGCAATCATATTCATATCAAATTATAAGATCTAATTACTATTTGACAATGAGTAGTAAACTTCACCAAAACAACTTGACAACTAACAAACGCCGTTACAAATACAAATCACACAAGTAACTGAAAGAAATTAGAAAAGTGACAAGACAACCAATGACATAGTGACTTATTGACATTGACACCAACGGACAGAATCAGAACCCATGATACCACAGAATAATAAACAATCAGAATGTCCACTCTCAGATGCCGCCTTTGAAGTTTTTCAGCACGCGCGCCATGTTTTAGAAGGAAACACATAACACAGACATTATGATTTGTGAGGTTATGTAATTGTTATTTATGTTTAATTATATTATTATATTTAACAATGTTAATATAATTGTATAGTATGTCTATGATTGCTGTAAGTCAATTAACAATAAACCGGGTTAATTTTTCTATGCACACCACATAAACAACACTGATTCCCTCTAAAACATGGCGGAACGTCTGCGCGAACGAGATACGCGTACTTAATTTTCCATGGAAAGTGAGCATTCTGATTGTTTATTATTATGTGTATATGTTCTGTGATTACCAACGCTAAAGGGTATTTTACACGAACTTCAAAAGGGTATCTCACACGCATGACAATTATTTCTCAAAATAGATTGATGTTCTGTGGTTACCAACGCTAAAGGATATCTTACATGTTCTAAAGTGTGTCTTACATGCGTATCAATATTTGACTAGTGTGGATACACACGACTTAGAGAATATCAGCATCAACGAAATAAACAATAATATTACTCAAATATTGAAAGAAGCTGAAAAGAAATACTGTCCTCGTCCTGAAAACAATAACAAAAAATTAAGCCACAACACAAAACATCTTCTAGAGGAAAGAAGAAAACTTAGGAAAAATCAGGATCATAACCAAAATGAACTAAGAATTTTGAATAAGAAAATTAAAAAGGAAGTTAGAAAAGATCTGAGACGATACAATACGATGGAAATAACTAGAGTAATAGAAGAAAACAAAAGCTTAAAAGTACACAGACAGAGCATATGTCCATTGGAAGAAAAAAGTCCACAAATTAAGAAATAAACAGAGGCATATCATTGAGGATAGAGTTCAAATTATGAACACGATAGAGAGTTTTTATAGACAACTATACAAAGAACAGCAATGTAACCGGAGTGGATCATTATCAAAGATAATCAATCAGGGATCTGAAATTTTACCGGACGTAACACCCAATGAAGTTCGAAGGTCAGTGCAAGAGATGAAAAACAATAAGTCCCCGGAGGCGATGAAGTAGTGGCAGATGCCTTGAAAGTGGCTGGAAAAAGATTATGGCAGGTCCTTGCCAAACTATTTACTAGAAAAAAAAAAAAAAAAACAATAAAACAATCCACCAACACGTTGGATTGACGATCTAAAACGTTGTCATAGGAATTGGATGCAAGAGGCACAAGATCGAAATAGATGGAAAATTATGAGGGAGATCTATGTCCAGCAGTGGATAAGCAAAGATTGAATGATGATTGGCTAAAAGCTTACGTCGTTGCATTAAGGGTTTTATCCGAATGCCCACTCTGCTTGAAAAAATAAGTACGCGCATCTCGTTCGCGCAGACGGAATCAGCCATGTTTTAGTCGGAACCAGTGCTGTTCAGTGACATTTTATCTGGTGTGTATTGACAAATTAACCCGGTTTAATTTAATTAAGGGTAACTATAGACATAAGATGTACTATTTAATTCGTTCTTTTAGTTGAAGACTAGATTAAATGATTTCAAATGTACTAAATTATTAATATCTAAAAATTTAAATTACAGTTTTGTCGTAGCTTTTCACAAATTTCTCAATTAGAATCTATGTTTCCGTTTAAAATATGGCGATCGCTTGCTGACAAACTTCAAAGGCGGCATCTGAGAGTGGGCATTCTGGTTGTTATTTATTCTGTGAGATTAGTAGCTTTGTACATTCCAGGTTATCCTATTTTCCGAATTACAATAAAAACTCCAATAACAAAAATAGTTTATTTCTTTACAAACACTAATACCTATTTTTTTAACTATAAAAGTATTACAATAAAACCATTTACCAAAATATATCTCTATATAGATACTGTATAGTTATAACTTTGAGAAGTACAGTAAAAACATTTATCAAAATATATATTTCTAAACAGCAAACTCTGTACGAAAAAGCTATTTCGAGTTTTACAAATTAGTAGCTTACTTAAATATATATTCAAAGTATATAGTAAATCTACTATCAATAAAAAATGCATAGTATAACCTCATCGTAGAAAACATAAACATTAACATAATTATTACACCACAATAATTATATGTTCATCAATGTTGTGTGATATTAATAGCTTACTTAATTAATCACTCATGGTTTGATCTTGAAACGATCCGATCTTCTCTATGTATTCTTTAAGTGGTACAACTGTTCCATCAGTAACTATCCTCAAATTGTCTCCAGAAATGTATGGATTTATATAAGGATTATGAATTTCAGCCACTTGGGTGGAACAGGCAGCTGCTGGATCAGAACTTGACGCTAAACTCCCAGTCCAGTATTCATTTCCCGGTAAGGAATTTCCATCCCAAGCAAAAGTTGCTACTAAAAGTTTACCTAAAAATCAATTAAAACAAATTTGAGTTGCATTTTCCCTCTTATTGAGAGTATTCAATGTTTATTATATGAATATAATATGGAGCTATCGAAAAAAGCCTAATTGAGATAGGCTTAAGAAAGGAAATAATTCCAGCAATAAGGGAGATTGCTGGCGATAACTTGGAGAACCTTTGGTTTTCCAAGTGATGAAACCAATTAGACGAAAAACCAGATTGTTTAATTGGACGAAGAGGTCCGATCGAATGACCTGCCAGATCACCAGATTTAACTCCACTTGATTTTTCCTTGTGGGGTTATTTAAAAAATCGAATTTACGAAACAAAACCTCAAAATTTAGAAGAATTGCGTCAGAGAATAATTTATGTACCTGGCCAAATACCTGCAGAATACTTAAACAATTCTATCGAATCTGTTAACTACCTACTAGCTCACTTACAGGAAGTAAACGGTGCACAATTTGAGCATTTACTACAATAAAGTTACTGGCGTCACTAGTGAGAGGCATAGAGACATCCGAAACACGCACCTCGATAAGTGAGAGGCAAGGGCACTCAATAAAAACAAGCACTCCGAAAAGTGAGAGGGAAAGTAAATTCACTGGAAACAAGAACCCCGATTAGTGGGAGACAAGGGGACTCACTGAAGACAAGCACCCTTTAGGGGACAAAAAATACTATGTCCACATCGCTGTTCCTCGATTATACTAAACGTAGTTTTTTAATAAAGTCAGATACAAAATCAACGAAAGAAGTTAACCTCATTATAGCTGTAGAAAAACTTTCTGATCTATATTTGTTTTTCTGCAATTAAATCGTCATCTATTGCGAATTGAAAAAAAAGTTCAGATAAAGCGTATTTACTTTTCACTTAGAATCCGACTATACAATAAAAATGGGGGTTTCTTTTAAGATTTCAAACTTGCCCCCCTCGATTTACCCAGGGGGTGGGGTGCGTGATCCTGTTTGGTAGCATTCGATAAATTTATGAAAAATATTAAACACATGTTTACAGCTTTTTATTTATAAGTTCATTTTTCGAGATATTAGATCCTCTCCATAATTTTCCTAAGGTATAAGGATAAACGTCTGGAAATAAAAGTTACTTATTCTTGAAAATGGGAAAAAGAGGAATTGCCTTTTTCGGCGGCTAAAGTTTTATGTGATAACTTCAATACATACTCTTATTTACTGATTTAATTTAAGGTTCAGAATCAGTTATGCTTTCTGAGTGACAAAGTTGAAATTGTGCGTCATGCAGTTTGTTGAGAATTTCGTCTCTAGTATTCCGCAAATTGTTGAAACTATCGACTCTGAAGAATTATGGAATTATGATAATCAGAATTTATATCCTAGTATACACGAATTTCGGTTACTGTCACTGGGTGACTTGGCAGTCATAGTTAAGTCGTTAGATCATACTTACTTCTCCTAGATCATCAAAAATTCCAGATTTATTAAAAATCAGTACAGTTGTTCAAATACCAAAAGTTAATAATACTATTAAGGCGGATGAATTTAGAGCTATAAATATACTTCCGCCCATTGAGAAATTATTAGAATTGGTAGTATATGATCAAGTCATGGATCACATTGATAAAAATAAAATCTTAATGAATACTCGGTCAGATTTTCGTAAAAAGTATTCATGGGAAACTGTACTGCAACTTTGACTTTGTAAATTCAGGTCTAAATTGGACAATGACAACTATTTAGTAGTAGTATTCCTTGATTTTAAAAGAGCGTTTGAAACTATTGATTGTAATATACTTCTCACTAAATTAGAAACCTATGGTATTGGAGGAAATGTTCTTGAATGGTTTAAAGATAACTTATTGGATAGAAAGCAACAAGTAAGGATTGATGATATTACTTCTTCTGCAATTAGTGTTAATATTGGGGTACCTCTAGGTAGTGTCTTAGGACCCCTTTTGTTTATATTGTATTTAAATGATATAAACTTGTTTGTTAAATATGATTTCTTTAATTTGTATGCAGATGACACCCTACTTGCATGTTTTGATTCAAACTTAGAAAATGCTGTATCTAAAATGAATTCAGCATTGCAGGCTGTTAATGAATATTTAAAGATTAACAAACTAAAGTTAAATGTGTTAAAGACAAAGCCTATGATAGTGACAACTAAATACAAATACTCAAATATGGATATAAATACTATTAATCTTCAAATTGACAATGACAAAATAGAAATCGTCACAACAATTAAGTACCTTGGTTTTTATTTGATAATTTATTGTCTTTTAATGACCATTTTAATTACATACTAAAAAAGATTTCTATAAAATTATACTTTTTTTCAAGAATATTTAAAAATTTGTCAACTTCAACCAAAATTACAGTTTTTAATGCAATTATTCAACGTCACTTCGATTTTTCTCAGTTATTTTTCTCTTCAATTTAAATCAATCGGCCCAGTTGCAAAAATTACAAAATCGTG